CATATATATTTCTAGAGCAAAAAAAAAAAAAAAGATGGGAAGGTGTTTTTTTTTTTTTTTTTTTTTTTTTTTTTTTTTTTTTTTTTAATTTTCCTTGACCAGCCATTGTAGCCAAATCAGCAAACCCAAGATCCCAGTAAGAGAGCTGGCCTCAAAAAACAAGGTGGATAACTCCAGAGGAATGAGCCCCAAGGTCGACCTCCAGCCTCCATATGCATGTGCACACATGTGCACATACCCACACGAATACACAGAAAGCTGTGAGTCCCTACTGCCATAGCACTGTAGGGGGTGGGGATGGGCTGCTCAGGCCTTAGGGACCCTGTGCCAGAAAGACTCCCCCGCCAATACACCCAAACAAGGGTATTAGGAAAGATCTGTCTGCCACACCCATTGGTGGAATGGTGAAGTTCTTTCCTCAACTTATTCATTGAGGCCCAGTGTATGCCAAGCAAGCACCTAGCTCCAGGAGCCTCAAGGCCACATGCTAGGCCCATTCCAGAACAGAGGAAGGGCTGGGCTGGGGTGGGCAACAGGGCAGAATCATTTAGATGGGCAATGGACTTCCTGCTGGGATCTCTTGAGTGCTCAGTCTCTTTGTGTTCCCTAGAGGGAAACTGAGGCTCAAGAGGTTTTTTTGGTGACCTTCCCGGGGTCCTGGTAACAGGAAGGGGAGACGGTACCCAGCATTTCCTCTCAGCTATTCCAACTGAATATTGGTACATCTATTATGTACCAAGCCCCATGTCCCCTTGGCCTTGTGTTCCTCCAGGGCAGGCCTCTCTGAGCCCCTTCCCCCACTTCCCTGCTGTTATCAGGCAGCCCAGCCCCTCCCCCATCCCCCCAAGCCTAGCTGCTGCTGCTCTGAAGCTGCTGGCTCAGGAGCCCTGGTTTTTGCTGAGCAAGCAAATCCAGAGGTGCTGTCTTGGCACAAAAGGCCAGCCACTGGCCAGGCCTTCCTCTCTTCCTTCTCTAGGGTCTGTTTCCAAGGAGGTAGTGCAGCTTGGAGAAGGGGGAGGATTAAGGGCAGGGGCCCTAGTACCTCCAGGGTCTTCAGCTCCAGGGAGTGGAGGGTCCTGAGACTGAGGAGTAGGAGTGTTGATGAAGTCAGCTGCCACTCAACTGCCTCTTCTATGTCAAGGATTTCTGCCCATCCCCTTCTATCGGATCATCTATTATGTACCAAGCACAGCCCTGTGCCCTAGGCCATAGATGGTGGTTGACAAAAATGTATGAATACTGCCTTGGGCCCCTAAGAGAGTTCATGCTTAACCATTCTGCCCTTGTGACACTCCTAGGTACAGCTTATACTGGCCCTATTTTACAGATGGACAGACTGAGGTCTAAGTGGCAGGTGTATGGCCCAAGGTTGATCCCTGAGTTTAGCTCTGCAGATTTAAGACCCCACGTTGTATCTGCTGATGCCTTTGTTTGCCTTGCAGCCCATCTCAACCAGACGAGGGCCTCCCTGTGGGCCTCTCAGCTGTCTCAGTCCCAGTCCCCTGGAAGAACGTGGGCCCCTGCAAAGGCCACAGAGGATCCCCTGCAGGCCTGGTGGAGGCCTCTGCAGGGGAGGAGGCCCAAGGTGAGGCATGCCCTCCGGGTGCTCTGCTGGACGTGGCACGCTTGCGCAGTTCCTCCATGGAGATCCGAGAGAAGGGCTCAGAGTTCTTGAAGGAGGAACTGTACAAAGCCCAGAAGGTAGGTGCCTTGGAGCAGGGTGGAGGGGGCTGGGGACGAGCAGCCAGCCTGGGAGAGCCCAGATGTTCCAGATGCATGTGGAAAAGAGAGGCTCAGGTTCTTGCCAAGGCTCATGTTGGATTCCTGGGAACTCAAAGGAAGAGGCTGACTGAACCCAGGGCTTCGGTTATGCTAGGCAAGCTCTCAACTATTGAACTCCATCCCCAGCCTCTGATTGTCTTAGGTTTATTTATTTTATTTATGGATGGATGTTTTGCCTGTATGTATATATGTATACCACAAGTATACCTGGTGCCCATGGAGGCCATAAGAGGGCATCATATCCCCAGGACCTGGAGTTATCGATGGTTGTGAGCTGCCACATGGGTGCTGGGAACTGAACCTGGGTCATCTGCCAAAGCAGGCAGTGCTCTAAACCACTGAGCCATCTCTCCAGCCCAGTAGGCTAGGGTTTTAACTCTGTGCCTGGGCTAAAGGAAGATGTCTCACAAAGTATCAGATACCACATGAAGAAAGCTGGTCCCTCAAAGCCTCACACCAGTGGCTTGGGGGTCAGAGCCTGGCCAGGTGGGCTGGGGCCTCCTGCTGAGCTGACAGCCTCCTTTGCACCTAGGAGCTAAAGCTGAAGGACGAGGAGTGTGAGCGGCTCTGCAAGGTGCGTGAGCAGCTGGAGCAGGAGCTGGAGGAGCTCACTGCTAGTCTGTTTGAGGTATGCCAGGCAGCCTAGGAATGGGCAGCCCAGGTTGTCCAGAAGCTTGTAACCACTCATACAGAGGCTGTCCTCCTCTAGGAAGCTCACAAGATGGTTCGGGAAGCCAACATGAAGCAGGCAGCATCAGAAAAGCAGCTGAAGGAGGCTTGGGGCAAGGTGAGGCCCACCCCTGTCTGTCTAGGCCAGCCCAAGGCTCCCATCACACCTTTGCTGGGAGTACTGGGCTCTGCGTTCAAGGCCACCCAGCAGGATCTTCACAGACTCCAGGGGCAGCACTGAGGTACAGGGGAGGAAGGGAGGGGCCTGAAATTCACTAGCTCAGTGTTCCTGACTCCCCCAGTATTTCTGCTGCACCACAGACACTTTTCTAGGACTTTCTGAGGCCCAGGAAGGACCCAGTGGTTAGTACAGTTTCTCATCCTAACACCCTTTCCAAAGCAGAAATGTGGGTGTGGTCGTGAGTGCTGGTAAGCAGCTTTCTCTCTTAGAGTATTGCTCATCAGTAAAATGTTTGGACCATCAGTAAAATGGTCTGAACAGTCTCACAATGTGACCTGAGGCAGGTCATGTCTCCTCTCTAGGCCTGTTTCCTTAGCTATAAAATGAATGCTCTAGTCTTCACCTTGAATCTCTTCCAAGGGTGATGGGAGGGGTACTACTGGGAACATTTGTCTTAGAGCACGACTGACAGGCTGTGGTAGCCAAGGTGGCATTTAACCTCTAGTTGGGGTTAATGGTCATCCTATCTGGGGCAGATTGACATGCTGCAGGCGGAGGTGACAGCCTTGAAGACACTGGTCATTACATCCACACCAGCCTCTCCCAACCGTGAGCTACACCCACAGCTGCTGAGTCCCACCAAGGCCGGGCCCCGAAAGGGCCATTCTCGCCATAAGAGCACCAGCAGTAGCCTCTGCCCCATCGTGTGCCCTGCCACAGGCCGTATCCCTACCCCAGACAAAGACGGCAAGGAGGTGAGGTACAGGCTGTGGTGGGCTCAGGTTGGGGAGGGGTGACTATGCTCAGCTAGTCAGATCAGAGGCCAAGGAGGGCCAGCCTAACCCCTCCTGGGGGACCTACAGCCTGTCTCTCCCCTCTCTGGACCTTAGGGTCCTTTTGAAATGTGAAGGCTGGGCAAGGCTCTTTTGACTCAAGCCGAAGGTGGTGGTCTCTGAACCTGAGGGTCCCCTCTAAGGAGGCCTTTTTGGAGATACACTCCCCTGACTTTAAAAGGACAGACTGGGCCTCTGGAGAGGAGCTCCCTGGGGCCTTTGTGACCACAGTCTTGAAGTCTAAGACCACCCTGTACTTGAGAATCTTCAGCATCTCTGACTGGCTAAGACAAGTATGGCCTTAGAAAGGTGCCCTTTCCTGCCTCAGCAGGATGCATGGGGTTTGGTCCAGGTTGGGCACAGGTCCTTGAGCAACTGTTAGTATTTCCATTTCCTCACATGGCGCATGGAGCCTCCCTGGGGGAGGAACTGTGTTGACACCAATGTGAAGAGCCAGCTAGGGATTATATCAGGTGAATACTGGGGCTCATGGGGTGGGATCTGGCTTCCTGGGACTTTCGTTCAAGCCCACCCTGGCTCAGAACTATCCTCCATCTGTCTCTTGAGCCTCCAGGGAGGAGGCACAGGCAAGCAAAGCCCCCTTGGCCCCCTTCTGAGTAGTGAGCTTCCCACCAGACACTGACATCTCCTCCTTCCTCTTGTCTGTCTCTGTGTGTCTATCTGTCTGACTGTCTGTCCACCCATTCCCTGGCCCAGCCCTGGCTGCCCCCTCTACTCTCCTTGCTCTTCTGCGTGATCCCCAGCAAGGCCATCCACCTCACCTACGAGCCCGCCTGGCAGCCCCCATCTGGGGAGCCGCCCACAGCCCCCAACTCTGCTACCTCTCTCTCCTTTTCCCGACAGGTAATGGCTCCGATAGGGACCACCCCTTTTGTTCCCCTCTGGGCTTCACTCACTGTGCATGCAGCCCAGGGCAGGCCAGCATTGCCTTCTCTGAGTGGGCAGCAGGACTGCCTGTAGTATGTTCTCTCCTGCGTGCATGTGCCTATGTGTGCGTCCTAGATGTGCAGGGGCCTGTGGGGTCCAATGGGGACCCACAGACTCCTGTGGGCTTTTTCTTAGTTTCTTCTAAAAGGAGTCAGTAGAAGTATTCAGGCCAAGACTCTGGATCCAAGTCTGTCATTTTGCAGCACCAAGAAACTTAAAACACACCCAGCCATGAACTGTGTTGTTCTAAATTCTTTGGTGCAGAAGACAGACAGGAACTCTTCCCCTGGGCTCTGCTCTCCTGCATGATGACTGCTGGGGACAGGCCTGATAACCTGGTGGGCCCTCCTGAATCTCCCTGCCCTCCTTTCTATCAGCTGTGCCACCCCTGTCATGCTGACTCTGGCCCTGACTGCCCCCACCTGGCTCCCCTCCCCTCCAGGTGGATACAACCCTGTTTGCAGAGTTCCAGGCTTGGAGGGCATCACCCACCCTGGACAAGAACAGCCCCTTCTTGGAAAGGGTGTACCGGGAAGACGTGGGCCCCTGCCTGGACTTCACAATGCAGGAGGTGTGGTGGGCTGAAGGGGCCGAGGGTGGCCGGCTAAAGACCCAGCCCATCAGCCCCTCGGCTGTCACCCAGCCCCTCTCCACTCCACCTTGATCTATCACAGCTCTCATCTCTGGTGCGGGCTGCTGTGGAGGACAACACACTCACCATTGAGCCTGTGGCTTCACAGACTCTGCCCACTGTGAAAGCGCCCACCGTCGAATGCAGCAACACCAAGTAAGTTAGTGCCTCGTTGCCTCTTCCTGCCCAATTGGGAAGGTCTATCATGGAGCCCTGGGCAGCACCTAATGAGTCTCAGGACACCTAAATCTAGGTGTGGAGGCTCAGGGTGGGCAGGGGCTGTGGCATTCAAGTTGACCAGGCCCCCAGAGTGCATGACCTAATCTGAAGACACAGTGATCTCCCAAGAGATGGACAGGACACTGAGGTATAGCTGAGGTAGCAAAGTGATTGTTTAGTCTGCATGAAGCCATGGATTCTACCCTCAGTACCACATAAAACCAAGTGTGGGAGTACTTTGGGAGGAGGAGGCAGGAGGATCAGAAGTTCAAGGTCATTCTTGGCTACATAACAAGTTCAGGGCAAGCCTGGGCTACGTGAGACCCTGCATGAGAGCCAACTCATGAGAGGAATAACTACCATTGTCTGCAGGACCAGTAGGCATCTTTGGCAGAAATCCCTGTTGCTGGCCGGGATTGTCTCTTCCTGACTAACATCACCCATGGTCCTTCTCCTATCCCTCTGATTGAGACATAAATGATTACCAATGGCTGGCCCTAGCTCCTGCCAATAAATCACCAAGCGCCCTGGCATCTCATCCTGCCTGCTGCTCAGCCAGGGGCCAGAGCAGGACTAAACAGCCAGGATGGACTGAGGAACAGGCAGGAAGTTTTTCCCTCTGGCATTCCAGAGCTGGCCTGGTGGGGCTCGCCCCACAGAGGGAACATTTGAGCCAGGCTGTAAAGGATGAATAGGAGTCAGACAAGTAGAGATGGGCCTTACAGGCAGAAGGAGCAGAATGAGTGAAGGTTTGAGAAGCTGGGGTGTGAATGGAAACACTTTTGGCTCAAGGCCATAGCGATGGGGCAGGGAGTTGGGGCTGAGTCTTTAGGGGAGGGTTTGAGGTCAGAGTATAAAGAGCCTGTGCCAGTTTGGGCACCAACTCACTAGGTTAGTGTTTTGGAATCATTGCAGATGCTTCCTATATAGAGGGCTCTCCAGTCCATTCAGCTTCACAGCAAAGGAGGTGACAACAAATGCCCTGATAAGTCCTGCAGCTAGGAGGACTTATCAACTGTCTTTTGCTTGGGAGTCTGTATAACCATTTCCTGGGCAATAGGGAAGCTACAGGAAAGGACTAGGTTAGATGTAGGTCTTTAGAACATCTCCTGGCTGTAACAGAGAAGGAAGGCTTAGGGGAAGTAGAGTAGTTGGAAGAAGCTGAGAGAATTCAGGCAAAAGGCATGAGGTAGGCTAGAGACATGGTGACCCAGTACAGGTGTAGGGGAGGGAGCCCATAGATGATACCCTAGAGTTTGTCATGGAGGCAGGGACCAGTGGAAGAGCAAGATTTGGAAGTGGGAGGCTGGACGATAGATGGGCTCTTCAAGACCTCTCAGACCTAGCACATGGGTAGCTGAAGGTGCAATGTAAGGTTGCCTGGACCTAGGAGAGAGGTGGCACAGGATAGGTTTCTTAGGGGGGGCCTGGTGGGCAGGGGGTGAACAAGCTTCATATGAGGAAGCAGGAGGTAATGACACCCTGAACTCAGGAGAAGAGTTGACTGGGTCAGTTTTAGAGGTTGCAGAGGGTTAGGCTTTGGTATACCTGGCATGAGGTTAACCACACTCTCTTGCTTACGTGGGGTAAGGAAAGGGGTCTCAGTATGGATACAGATGGACTTGAGGCCTATCTGGGAGACTCCTGCCCCACCTCCCATCTTGGTCTAGCCCTGAGCATCTTTGGAAGCTGGGTGGGAAGGAGAGACCAGGCCCAACCTCATGTCTGTTTGCCGTCCTCACTTTCCACACATTCTCTGGATGCTGTGTACTCCCTGCCTCCGTGAACCAAGTGAGTAAGGCCCCTTCAGCCCCCCACTTGCTCTGCTCTTCCCAGCACGTGTGCCCTGAGCGGGCTGGCCCGTACCTGCCACCACCGTATCCGGCTTGGGGACTCTGAGAGCCACTACTACATTTCGCCATCCTCCCGGGCCAGGGTGAGTCGATCTTATAAGTGTCACTTGGCTCCTTTGGAACCACAGGGACTGGAGCTCTGGCCCTAGACCTGGAAGTACAGTCCGGATAATTCTTCAGAGCCTGCAGAGGTGCAGAGACTGAAGAGAGCCAGAGTTAGCCAAGTGTCTTGATTTTCTATTGTTTTGTAACCCATTACTATAAACATAGTGGCTTAACCCAGGTGAACTTGCTCCGCAGCTAGGGATAACCTTGAACCTCTGATCCTTCTGCTTCCATCTCCCAAGTTCTGAGATGACAGGCATACTCCACCATGCCTGGCTTATGTAGTTCGACTTTGTGCATGCTAGGCAAGCACACTACCCATTGAGCTATATCCCTAGCACAAGCCAACACACTCCTATTACCTCACCATTCTCCCTGGGCCAGAGGACTGGACATTGATTAGTGGGTGGATAACCTCTGCTCAGGTACTTATAAGCCTGTGTAATTGGGCCTTAGCTGGACTGGGTTCCTTTCTGAGTTCAGGGTCCTTTTTCAAGCTCCTGCAGGTGTTGATAGAATTCAGTTCCTGTGTATACAGCTCTGTTGCCCACAGTTCCTGCCATATGGCCTCTAAAAACAGGGCAGGTGTGTGTGCCCCAGGGCCACACAACCTAGATCCTGAAGTCTTCTGACTGAATTTGTGTCAACAGCTCCTGCCCTGTATCCACAAGGTATCCAGAGTTCTGTGGTCAGAAATCCCCTTTGTCACTTCCCAGTCCTTCCCACACTCAGCAAAAGGGCTCATGCCAGCCATCCCTGTGCCTAGCAAGATTACATCCAGCTTCCTTCTATTTCTGAGCTAGGTGTCTAGTTCTGCGGGGAAAAGCTGGGTAGAAGAGGAGACAGGAACTGAGGAGGGTCTTGTGGTTTAGTATGTGGTCCTTGCCTGGCACGCAGCACAGTCCTGGGGAGAAACTCCACCATTCTGCCACTCTGTGCTCAGGAGACTCCCATGGTTTCTACTGCTAGCTGCTTACCTGGCACTAGAACTCCCTACCCCCCATCACAGCCTCGCTTCACCTTCCCAACTCCAGGCCCAGTCACACCAGGCTCTGCCATCACCCCCCACCCCCAGCCCCCTGCACCCTCTTTGGCCTCCTGGAAAGTTCTGTGTATTTTGGGCCTAGTGGGACATTATCCCTCCCTGCAGCCACTCCACTCCCCAGTGCCTCTGGGTGCCTCACACTCGTGGTTTCTGTAGGTGCTCTGAGGACCTGTCTGTCTGCTATCTCCCACTATCTTGAATGCCTTGGGTGGTTCCCTAGAGGCAGAGCTTGACATGGACATTTCTAGAACTTGTCAGTGGGGTAAAGAAAGCAAGATGAAGGCAGGGAAAGGAGCCAGGCCAGGACTGGGCCTAGCTTTGGCTGGATTGGAGGGATTCCTGATCATAGAGCTCCCCAAACTCCCCAGGCAAAGAAAGAGCTTGCCTTCTGTTCCCTCCACTCTAGCCAGTCATTGGCAGCGGTGGGGTTCACAAAGGGGCACTGTGGGCTCCAAGTAGTTTGCACTCTCAGAAGCTGGAAAATGGGGTCTGACTGGGACTGGGCCCCTGAGCAGGGTACCAACAGAGCCCTGAGTTGCCAGAGCTTGGCATGGAACAGGCCTCCAGCCATGCTGGGGATCTCAAGCATAGGGACCAGGGCAGCCCAGGTAAGGGACCCTGGAGTTAAACATGGTACTTGACTTAGGCCTGGTCCTAATGAGCGGGTCTGCTGGGGTCTGAGTTTGGATGCTGGGGCAGGCTGCCTCATTTCATTTGTCAACCCAGCCACTTACTAACTTGACAGTCAAGAGTCTTTATCGGGCAACTTTATTCTTGGAGTTTCCGTTCTACCTGTGAAATGGGACCAGTGAGTGTGTCTGCCCCACTTGCTGCATCACTAACAGGTGGTTGCACTGGTTATTCTTAGGAGCCCTGTTAGTCTTGCTACTATTAATTAAACCTTGAAAGCACAGCTCTAGCAGAGTCAGAGAGCACTACCCAGCTCTGCCTGTTCTGGTATCGGGTCCATATTGGCTATTTGGGGGACCCCAGAGTGAGTGTGGGGAGTCTAGTGCGTGACACCCTCTGCATTCTGCATTCTCCTGGCAGATCACCGCTGTGTGCAACTTCTTCACCTACATCCGCTACATCCAGCAAGGCCTGGTTCGGCAGGATGGTGAGCGCCCCCTGGTGTTCCGTTCAGGGATCATGCCCAAGGGAGGGAGGCACAGGGCAGAATGGGGCTAGTGCCTTCTGAGTCTATCAGGACTCCGGAGTCCCTCCACCAGGCCATCAAAAAGGAAAGTTGTGAGTTAATAAAGGGTTCCTGACCCTTCTTGGCACTGGGTTCCATAGAGAGCAGAGTCGCAGAAAAAGCTGCTGGGTTCTGCCTCATGGGGACAGCAATCCTGGTGCCTCCCATGGCCCTGGGTTGTGCTGCTCTTTCTGCTGCCTACGAATCTCTCTGGGGCTCCAGGGCCTGCAGTGACAGCATTCCTGTTACTGGTTTGACATTCAAGGCTCTTTACAATCATTTCTCCGTGACTCTTTCCTGCTTCATGGCCACCAGAACATGAGCTCTCTGTCTCTTGAGCCCTTGCTTAATGGGTTCCTTCTCCCAGCTCATGGACTGACACTGTGGCCCTGCTCACTGCTCTGGGTCAGGGTTGGCAAGCATTTGCAACCTGTCAAGTGTGATTCCCAGCCCAATGGTAGAAAAAATATATGATAGAGAGAACATGCATGTCTGGTCAGACTGAAAGGATATACAAAGTCAGGGGAGAAGTCCAGGCCAGCTGCCTGAAGTGTCCTGAACTGCCTCCCCTGCCCCCCCCCATCCACAGTGGAGCCGATGTTTTGGGAGATCATGAGGCTACGGAAGGGGATGTCATTGGCCAAGCTTGGCTTCTTCCCCCAGGAGGCCTAGGGCACAGCCCCAGGTCTGAAGTGGACTCTGAGCTGGAGGAAACACCTACCTCAGGACCAACAAGAAGTCCTGTAGCCAGGTCCAAGCAAGAAGCTGAAAAGGACAGATCCATAGCCAGGTCTTGGAGGACCCACTGAGCCAGTACCAATCATTCTGGGACAGACATCAAGGGACAGCCTGGCCTATGGCTCTGTCTTGCCTACCAGGCTCTGAGGCCATCAAGAGAATTTCAAGAAAGCACCAAAGACCAAGTTGCTCAGAGCTATATTCAGAGGTGGCTCAGCCCTGGGGAGGAGACCTGAGCAGCCAGCACCCCTCCACCTCCTGATGCTGCCCTGTCTTCAGAAAAGGACTGTCTTGGGGGTAGCTGAATCTCCAGGCTATTCCAGCGCAGCCTCCAAACCCTGGGCCACCAGCACCCCCTTGTGGCCATCTCTCACTCTGTTCCCAGGTAACCTCTGTGTTGGACTGCCCTGATGGAAGGGCCTCCAGGGTGTCTCCTGTCTGAACAAAGTGGAAAACTGCCTCAAAATTCTCTGAGGATGAGTCCAAGACCCCTCCTCCATTCCTCTGCATAAAGGCTTCCGTGTGCCATCCCTCTCCACCTCAGTCCCAGCTCCAGGGGACCTGTTCCCAAAAATCCTGGGGGACTGAGATGCCTTCTTCCCACCAAGGGGACTTCAGGGCACAGCTGTACACAGCCATTCACATAGTATAGGCCTTGTATGTGGAGCTGGATGGAGTAGGCAGGCCATGCAGGACTTGGGCCCTGTCTTACCCATCACAGCCCACTTGGAACTGGGCTTAGGGGATCCAACCTGGACACATCCTTCACCATGCCCCTATTTCTTTCTCTGAGTGGAATGTAACACAATCTCTATTTAATAAAGGAAGGCTTTGTTGGTAGGAGCTAGGCAGTCATGGCTTTTGCTCCTGCACTCTGGGGCTCTGGCCAGGACTTGGGCATCTGAAGGAATGAAACCAAATCCTTTCCCTGCCCGCCCTCGTGCTTGGGATTAAACCCAAATCCTGAAGCCACCCCCACTGCCACTGCCACTTACTTGCTGTTGGGAAGACTGTTGGAGTCGTCCTTAGTGTTCCACATGGCTGTGGGGGATTAGAATGAGGCTGCCTCCCTGAGTTCAGTTCTGTCCTCTGGACAGCCCCCCCCCCAACTAGCCTCAGAGATGACCTGTTATCTACTAGAAGCCCGGAGTCAAAGTATCTAAGCTGCCTGTGGCTTGGCAGGACAGTGAAGGACTGATTGGTAATACCTGCCCATAGAACAGATGGGAACAACGAGAGCTTTGAACCACCCAGCCCTGATCTTAAATGGGTTCTTAGCAAGGGACAGCAGGCATAGGGACGAAGGTGGGGTGGCCAGGGTCCTTAGTACAAAGTAGGACTAAGGAGGTGTTTTGTGATTCTTGACCATGCCCACCTTTGGGCTTTGTGCCTTTCTGGGAGGAGGGCACAGCAGCTTCTGGGTTCAGTCAGAGGTTGGCAATAGCCTACAGGGAGTTCTTTGTTGGCCTGAGGCCCAGGTACGACTCAGATGGTAGAGAGATCAGCCGGGGGCCAGCCTGAGCTCTGTGTAGGTCCTCTGCCTTCTCACCTCTGGCCAGTAGTCTGTTCCCAGGACTCTTCTTCGTTCTCAAATTCCCTCCCTGTCCCATCATGACATGAATCCTTCGCAACCTCAGCTCCCATGGGTGACCACTGACCACACCCCTGTCATATTCACTCATTCACTTAACCAGTACTGGAGTCTCCTCTGTGCTGGACATGGGCAGTAACAAACACACCAGTAATGTGTTCAGGTTGCTGGATGGAGGAACATAAAAGGCAAAGGAGGATGTCAGAGAAGGGCTTGTGCATGCCACATGGGGTGACTGTGGCATCCTCTCATATCGTACTGTGTCAACCCTGGATCACCTGGGGACAAAAGAGGATGAAAACCTGAGCCCTGAACTTGCTCACTCCACTCCCCAACTTCTGTGCTCTAGGCACAGCCACACCTAGGACCAAGAAGAGGACAGAAGACATTCCAGACGTCCATGGAGGACCCTCCATCATCCCAGACTTATTCAGCCTGCCCCTGCAAAGCTTTGGCCATAATCAGACCCCAGGTGAAGGCATCAACACAGCCTCATACCAGCAACAGCAGCTTATGGCTAAGCACTGACTATGTGCTAAGCCTGGCTCCAGACCCTCTCAGTGAATCAATTAATTTCAACCTCTTAGCAACTTTAAAACATGCTATTCTCCCCCATGTTACAGATAAACTCTTGGAGGCAAGAGAGATCACAAACAGGTCCTGGAGTTATGGCTTTAGCTCAGTGATAGGGTGCTTGCCTAGCAAGTGTAAGGCCCTGAGTTTGGTCCCTAGCTCAAGAAAAAAAAATAATAAAGACAAAAATCATAAAGAGGTCCTAAGGCTCTGAAGCTCATAGTATTAACCGATCTACTATGTGTTTTGCCAAACACTTGTAGCATGCTTAGCTTCTTTCTCACTTCAGTTGATGCAGGAGGTAGAAATGTAGGTCAGTGGTGGAGAATTTGTTTAGCATGCTCAAGCCCTGGGGTTTAATCCCCAGCACTGAAAAAAAGAAAAAAAGATACAGAAACAAGAGTCTGAGACAGAGTTGGAATTCGAATATCGTCTTTCCCAGGCCCCGTTCTATTAGAGTTGCCTTGCTATTGCAGGCTCTCGAGTAGCTCAAGGCTTTGGCTCTTGGGGCTGACTGGGAAGGGTAGCTGACATCAGACACATGGTTGTTCTGAAATGAATTTTCTAGATAATCTACTTGGGCCTAAATGTGCTTGGCACATAGAAATCATCTGAGCCCTCCTTGGCTGCTTTTGAGCCAGCCCTGAGTCTGGCCTCAAGGCATAGAGGCATTGAACCTGACTGAGCACAGTTTACCATCTGCCAAGCCTGTCCCGATTTGAATCCTGCCAGGGCTGTGACCCTGGGGCAAGTTGATTTTCTTATTTGTGAGTTGAGATAAGTTTTCCAGCCCTGTCTCTGATAGATTCATTCATTCAATCATTCATTCATTCTTCATTCACTTTTGGTGTATGTGAGTGCACACACACAGTCACTATTGCATGTACCATATGCTAGCTGGCCCTCAAGCCTCTACAAATTCTCTTGTCTCTGCTTCCCATCTTCCCATAGGAATTCAGGGATTAGATACCTGCACTACTGCATCAGGCTTTATATGGGTTGTGGGGATCTGAACTCATGTCGTGAGGCTTGCACAGTAAGTGTTTTACCCACTGAGTCATCTCAGTGCTTTTTAAAAAATGCAATCTCAGGGCTGGAGAGATGGCTTAGCGGTTAAGAGCACTGACTGCTCTTGCAGAGGACCCAGGTTCGATTCCCAACACCTACATGGTGGCTACAAACCATCCTTAACCCCAGTTCCAGGGGAATCCGAAGACCTCTTCTGACCTCTGTGGCATTGCATGACACGGGTGCACTCACATACATGCAGGCAGTATACTCATACACATAAAATAAAAATAATAACTTTTTTTAAAATGCAATCTCAATCATTTTAAGCATAGAGTTACATCAGTGTTAGATACATTCCCATTGCTGTGAAACTCTTTACAAACATTTCATAGCTTATAAAATCCAATGCAATGTTCATTAATTCCCTATTCCTTCTGCCTCCCGCCCCAACTGTGGAAATGCCCCCACCATTCTACCTCTGCTTCTTGTGAATCTGTCTCCTCTAGAAATTTGCTGGAAATGGAAGTGTAGCCTATTCATCTTCTTGTAACTGGCTGATTTCACTTAATGTCTTTAATGCACACCTATACTGTAATGTGTCAGGACTTCCTTTTTAAGGCTTAGAAATACTCTCTTGTATGTGTAACACTCCATTGTATTTATCCATTCACTGGAGATAGACATGGCTTTACTCATACCTGTCAGCTATTGTAAAAAAATGCTGCAGTAACATGTTTTATGGAAATAGCTCTTGGAGACCTTGGGATAAATATATAAAAGTAGGTTTGCTGGCTCATATGGTAGTTCTGGGTTTTTTTTGTTTTTTTTGTTTTTTGTTTTTTTGACCATCCATAACTTTTTTCCATAACAGCTGCACCATTTTAAAGTCCCATCAACAATGCACACGGGTTCCAACTTTTTCTACCTTCTGGCCAAACTTGTTACCTTCTGGGTTGTGTTTTGTTTTTCTTTTTTGGGGTTTATTTATTTACTTATTTTGGTCTTTGTGAGACAGGGTCTCCCTACTTCCCCAGCTGGCCTGGAATTCACTCTATAGACCGGGCTGGCCTTGATCTCACAGAATATCACCTGCCTCTGCTTTCCTGGTGCTGGGATTAAAGGTGTGCCACCACACCTGGCTCACCTTCTGAGTTTTATAGTAACCATTTGAACAGGTGTGAGGTGTGCCCTCCCTGGACTTTGATCTGCATCACTAATAACAGTGATACTGAGATCTTTTCAACCTTTACTGCCCATGTATGTGCAGCCCCTTCTTACCAAGGGGCATTCTAAGGAGCTCTGCTGAGCCACCATCGTGAGACCCTTGAGAGGCTCTTTGGTGGCGGATAGACTTGTAATCACTGGCCTAAATGGTTCTACATAGCTTTTGTATAAGTCTGTGATGCCTGCCACCTCAGCCCCTGCTTTCTCAGAGGAGTTGTACCTTATACTAATAATCAAGCTCATGATGTGATGATTCATACCTCAAGCCAAACCCTAGAGCTCTGACTTTTGTCCCTTTCCTATGACTGCTGCAGACTGAAGACCTGAGCCCCGGGATGAATGGCTCTTTCTGGTGAGCTTTTTCTTAAAGCCACTGGCTTGCCTAGCCAACTTGCCGAGCCTTGCTGGCACTGTACAAACATCTCTTGGCTCCAGGACAGTAGCTGGTGGCTTTGAAGGGGGTGGTGATTGCAATATATCCCAAGAGGCCTGGGTAGCACCTCACAGCAGTGAGGACTCCAGTTGGGATTGGGGCAAGGGGCTGCATTCAAAGGGCTTAAGAGACTCCCCTCAAACCTCAAGCTTGCCCCCTTTCAAAAAAATACTCCAGCTGGCCAGCCTCCCCCCCCCACACACACCCAAAAACCCTGGCAGTGGCCCAATGGCAGCTCAGGAATGTTGAGTGATGCCTCTCCCTTTCCAAGTGGCCTGAGAGGCCTCAGCTGCCCGGTTACCCGGATTTGAGGATTTGGAGACAATGGAGCCCCAAGTTCCCCCAGACCTGACTCCTTACAAGGTGCAAGCTCTCCGGGATAAGAAATCAGAGAGGCAGAGCAGCCAAGGAAGGCTCTGAGGGCCTGTGGAGAATGAACCATGGGAGGCTGTGTGGGCGGTGGGGAGAGGCCGCTCATAGTTGAGGCTTTATGGGAACACATAGCTACAGGTAAATAGAAGGCCCCATACCATCTGCATACCCCATGCTGGGTTCAAGTGGCCAGAGAGGGTTCAGGCCTTATCCTTGCTTTAGCTCCTCAATCTGTCCAATCTTCCTCTTCTCCATCTCTTCTAGTATGGGTAGAGATCTAACTGACCCCACCCCTACCTAACTGCTTACCATCCCTGAGTCCAGGCCAGGGCCCCAGCGAAGGAAGCCTTAGATGGCCTTTGAGCCAGTCATATCTTACCACTGAGAGATGCTGAATTTAGAACAAGGAGCACATCCTCATGGGCCACACTGGGTCTGGCCCACAACGTAGAAGTGCATTGGCTGGGAGAGTCTGCTTTCTCCATCCCAGTGATCAGTGTGACCATGTGGGGGCAGCAGTACTTGCAGTCCCCCTTTGACCAGGGCTGCCACACTCCCCCAGGTGTGCTGGTGTGGGCTTCCAGGGTTCTGGGGGAAATGTCTGTAGGAAAGGACCAAACAGCTCCTGTTTGTGGGAACATTGTGGGTGTTTCTGGTGGTTCTGGCTAGCCAAGACAGGAGCTCCTAGAATTGGGGAGAACCAAGAGGTCCCCCTCTTCAAGCTCTGGTCTGGTCTGTGGTACAAATCATATTGGTCTTCCATATGTATATTCATGGATTCGGTAGCCAAAGATACAACAGCAGTAGACAGGACATATTTAGATAATTCTGGAAAATTCCAAAACACAAAACTGGAATGTGCCACACTCCTAGCACTCCACTGAATGAAGCAACATGTAGACAGGCCCTGCTGTTGCCTCTCGTTTTGAAGGCCCTGAGGATGTCCCCAGCACTCTTTGACATATTGCTCACCTCTGGTTCCCTTCCTGTCATGTGCTAAATGCCTGTAATGGTTATATCAGGACTGAACGTGTCCAGCTGTTTTATTCTTGCCATTGTTCCTTAAACAACACAGCAGAACAATTAATAATAGAGCATTTACATCACATTAGGTCTTGATATCCACAGGAGTCCCTGGAACCCAGGTTTCCTACAGTAGAAACTTAAGCCAAGAAGAAATGTTAGCATAATGGAGAAAATATACTTTAAGATTCTGAAAAGATGTCAGCCAACCAGAAGTCAGCATTACCTCTCTGCCTTGAGTCACACTTGGGTGGGGCACCATAGACTTTTCACTAGCCCTCCAGGCGGTTTTGATGGGCACTCAAGTTTGCCAACCGCTGTCTGGAATATAACCTTATTCCTATTGGTGTGAATGTTTAACTTTTAGAATCGGGTGTCAGTGTCAAAGAAACACCGGACAATTTGGGAACCTACTTACACTCTCAAAAGGATTTGAATTTAATGTCAAAAATAGGATGGTGAAGGGAGAAGAGTGGAAAGCAGTAACAAGCAAGCCACTCATTACATATTAATTCATCCTTTCACCTCATGAACAGCAGTACTCAGGCTCCAATGCCCTCTGCTCCTCTTCCTCCCCAGTGGCCACTCTGGGCATCCCTGACCCTGCAGCCTGCGGGGCGATGAGGCCACCCACTCCAGCAGATGGCCCAGGACGGCCTCTCCTCGCGGATGTTCGGGGATCTCTTGGGGGCATTGGGGGGTCCACTGTTTGCAGTGCTTACAGTCACCCCGAGATAGTGTCCCCTGCTCTAGCCGCTCCGGATGCGCGGCTGGCAACCCACGGCGCCCCTGGCCCATCCTTCGTAGCCTCACAGGGCGCAGACCCAGGCCCCGAGGATGCGCTGGGGCGCACTGGCCGGACTCCGGAGCGTGCCGCATCCCCATCCCCCTTCACGGTCAATCCCGAAGACCTAGGAGCTGGGGGCGGGACGGTGCCGCGGGGGCAGGGCCGGGCGTGGTGGCCCGGGGGCCCTCCCGGGTGGGGCGAGTCCCACCGCGACACCGCCCTCCCGGGGCAGCCAATGGAGGCCGAGGTGCCGCACCGGGATTGGAGCGGGCGCGGGACTGGCCAGCGCGGGGGCCGGGACGAGGGGCGGGCGAGGAGAGCGCTGTCAGCGCGGTTATAAGGGAGGGAAAAGTTCCCTGCGCCGAGAGCGGGGTAGGCGCACGCTCGTACGGCGGCCGCAGCGGCAGGGCGGGGCCGGCAGGGCGGACAGCGGCGCAGAAAGGCCCCCCATCGCGACCTCGCCTCCCTCGGTGTCTCGCTTGGACCGCGGGTACAGCCCGGGGTCCCGAGGACTTTTGCGCAGCGGCCATGGGCGGCGTCGGGGAGCCCGGCGGGGGGCCGGGGCCGCGGGAGGGGCCCGCACCGCTGGGGGCGCCGCTACCTATCTTCCGCTGGGAGCAGATCCGCCAGCACGACCTGCCGGGCGACAAGTGGCTGGTTATAGAGCGCCGGGTCTACGACATCAGCCGCTGGGCACAGCGGCACCCCGGGGGCAGCCGCCTCATCGGCCACCACGGCGCGGAGGATGCCACGGTAAGGTAGCACAGGCGGCGAGGCGGAGCCCGGCGTGCTGGGGGCCGTGGACCCTGGGTCGTGCGCTCTGTGTCTCATTCCACCTGCGGGCCTTAGCATCCTTCCTACTCTCGCTGACCTTTGACCTCCACTCCCTGGCCCCAGAGTTGAGAAGGAGCCAGAGGCTCTGATGTAGGTAAGGAGGTCGCTTTCTTGCTGGTAGGTCTGTGCAATTGGTCTGTCAGGGAGGTAGGGATCCTTGGAGGTGGGTGTGCCATGGGAGCGGGGTGGAGGGGTTGCAGATCCTGCTCTATATAAGGACCCTCACTGCTGTTCTGAGGTTTCCATCTGTGTTCAGAATCTCTCAGACCAGTACCTGATGCTTCCCACGAGTGCTAGGGGGCAGGGCTGGGTCCCTAGCGGCAGACAGGGATTTGCCATCAGAGACTGGGGGCTGGGCAGCAGAGCTTAGGCAGGGCCTGGAGGTCTGTGGCTTTCCCAGAGCCTCTATAAACTGTTCTGACGGCCAGTGACTCACCTCTGCTGGGCTGGCGCTGCACGTGGGAAGACTTTGCCAGGCTGGGTGGGCCTCCTCGGGAAGCACAGTCACCCCAGGAACAGGCTGGCCCCTGGGGACTCTGGCTTCTCATTCTCAGTCCACATCTAGACAAGGAAGGATGTAGCTGGGCCTGCAAGACTATCTGGCAGGAGCCCAGAAACAGGCTGCTTGGAGATTTCCCAACCCCTTCCTCCCTTAGTCCCCCACATGGACAAGGGTTGAGGCCATGATCTTCTGTCCTTGACTATTCAGAATTCTGAGAGGTCTGTCACACTGGGGACCAGGAAGATCTTCAAGACTGGAAGGAATGAATAATGGCAGAACTTGGTGTCAGCAGAGAAAATTCTGCCCTGTCTCAGGACTGTCACCATCCCTCTCCTCCCCCATTCACCCTGGGTAACTGAGAGAGATTAGAGTGAGAAGGCTCCTGAAACCCAGCAGCCTGTGGATGGGCCAGAGGGTGTGGGCATGTGCAGTCCTGAGTGTGTGCCCACTTAGATTTGTGAGTGTCCGTGTGAACATGCATGCATACATGTGCACACCTTTCTGCAAGGGTATGATGGGCACAAAGTGCCATGGCCCCTCCTCTTAGCCCTGGCAACCCTTTGGGGGGTCTTACTGGTGCCTACTGTAGCATAGGGCAGGATGCTGGGCAGGTGAGGGGAAGGACAGCAAAGAGCATTGATTAATTGCTTTTTCCTGCTCAGGGCCAAGCCTGTGCCCCTCCTACACGGGATTCCTAACTTTATATTTAGCTTGACACCCTGAGATGGCCATCTGATGATTTTGTCATTGATTCATAGCCAGTAAGGCCTGCTAGAAAATCATCTCTTTGCTCCCTGGGGCTGGGTCTTGGCTCTGTCCTTGAAGGCTCTAAGTGGCCTTGATCAATCCAGACATACCATTCTTCTGAGCCTCAGTTTCTTCATCTGTGGAGTGGGGAAAGCTGAACCAAATGGCAAATCAGTAAAGGGCAGAGCAGGACCATGCCTTCTCAAGTAGGCTGCTGTATCACAGTTCTGCAGGTTCAGTGAATGTTCCTCAGTGTAATGTACAAACTGTAGAGTGCAGTGGGACAGCCACAGCACTTCCAAGCCTTTGCTGGGTGACCTTATCTGTCTCTGACCCTGTCAGTAATAGGAGGAGATTGCTGTAGGCCCCAAACACTGGACTAGAGTTGCCAAAAATACCTGGTGTACTCAAGTCATAGTTGAGAGGTGGCTGGGTGCAGAGGACCCTAGTGTTTGTGTATGATGAGCCTGTAGGACATACCAGGGGTTGGACCAGTATAGTGCCCTGTGTGGTCGAGCTCAGATGTCAGGTGTCCTATCCCAGGCCCTGAAGCTCAGGTGGGGGAGGCTGCCCACTCAACACTAGCCCAGCTGCCCATCAGCTGTTCTCATGTCCAGGCAGCAGAAGCTTTCCTGCCAGGAAATTCCCAGAGTTCCTGTGCCATGAAGTCAGCTTGTGGCCATCCTAGGATACAAAGCCTGGTGCCCTGGGGAGAGCACTCTAGGCTCTGGGCCAGGTTTATCTAAGAGTCATAGGCACCCTGAGACAAGCAAAGCCAGCCAGACAGGGGTGAGGCCCAGCCATTGCTGGTCATAAGTATATGGACATTGTTGTTAAGATTTTGAGATCATTTAACTGGGATCCAAAGTGTGAAATGGCCAGTGAAGAGGGTAAGAGATGTATGGACACAGGGACACAGGGTCATGTGCTAAGCATGTCCTATGTGCCAGACTCTAAATTTAATGCTTGTTATTGATACTGTCTGTTAATCCTCAGTATACCTCCTCTGAGGCAGGTACTGCTACTGTTACCCACTTTACACATGAGAAAACTGAGGTAAAGGACTTGAAATAAAGTGGCAGGTCTGGAATTTGAATGCAGGACCATGCGCTTCCCCACCTGTTGTACTACCCCTCAGCTGTTCATTTCAATCACTCATTCATTTCTTAAATTCACCCATGAGTATTTCCTGTGTACCTGACCTCTGAAGATGCAGCTGGGAACAAAACATCTTCAGGGAAGAAGTGCCTGGGTGGACCAGCGAAGGTAAAGGATTAGAGGTTGGACTGTATCTTCCCGTGTCGAAGGAATATTTATGACTACAGAAGAGAGTAGTCATGGGGGTGGGGATCAAAAGGCAGGTACCTGTGCCTGGGCTCACTGGATGTTTTTGTCCTTGGAAGGGCTTTGGCTTATTCTAAAGAAGAAGGGGAACTATGGAGGGCAGAGCCAGGAAACCAGGGGGGTCTGATATATGTTTAAAAGGATCTAAAGACTGGGGATGTAGCAGGGCTGGAGAGATGGTTCAGCAGTAAGGAACACTGACTGCTCTCACAGAGGACAGGGTTAGAAGCCCAACACCCACATGGTGGCTAACAACTGCTCATAACTCCAATTCCAGGGGATCTGACACCCTCTTTTGACCTCTGTAGGCATTGCATGACACAGGTACACTTATATACACTCATACACATAAAATAAAAATATTTAAAAGACAGACTGCTTGCCTATCATGTGTGATGCCCTGGGTTCAATCCCTGGCACTCTTATCCATATCACATTGATGAACATGATGGTACACACCTGTAATCCCAGCACTCAGGAGGTAGAGGCAGAGCACTCTGGAGTTCAAGGCCAGCCTGGGACACTTGAGACCTTGTCTTTAAAACTACAGAAGATCCCTAGGAACGGCAGAAGAGCAGAGGCTATAAGTGGGCAAGACATGGAAGACAAGGACCCTCAGAAGGGGAGGCCACTCAGAAGTGAGCATTTAACTGGGCTCCAAAGTGTGAAGTGGCCAGGGAAGAGGGTAAGGGATGTATGGACATGGGGACACTAGTGGGGACCATTGGGGTTAGTTGTATGAGCTGGGGACATTGCTCAGTAGTAGAGTGCTTGCTGAGTATGTGCTGGGTTCAGTCTTCAGTAATGTAAAATAAATGTGATAAAAGCAACTAGAGTCCAGGATTGTTGTGTACACCTGTCATCTCAGCACTTGGGAGGTGGAAGCAGGAAGGAGGAGTTCAGTGTCGTTCAATGGCTCCACGTTGAGACTGAGTCCGTCCTGGGCAACATGCGCCCCCATCTCAAACAATAACAACAGTAACCAGATATCCTTGTGTTACCTGTCCACGGATTGCAGCCCTGTTTCCCCATCAGTGTGGTAGTGATAAGAGTGCTTTCGTCTGAGGTACAATATAGGAATGGTGCTGGGCACCTGGGTGACTGGTTGCCATAGGCAACGAAGCCTTGTGCTGATAGGTGTGGTAAATTCACTCTTCTGTATGGAGAGGATGAGTTTCCTAGCACCCCTGGGGCCCTTTGGGTGAAATCAGCATCAGCCCTGGGAGAATCCAGTGTCCAGCAGACCTTCTGAACCACCAGGCAGCTACCTTCTCCTGACTTGAGCTAGAGGTGTGAGTGGCCTGTACTGCCATCAGAGGCTGTGCCCTAATAATTTAAGCCAATAGTTACCCACTGACCAGGCTCTTTTCTGAGAGTTTTAGATGTAATAACTAATTTAATTCTTCCATTAACCTCATGAGATTGGGTCCTAGCCATTGTACAGATGAAGAAACTGAGGCAAAAATTGAGCTATGTCGTAGGACCCTAAAATACCAGGGCCTTCAGTCCTGGGCTTGTAAAGTAAGGTAATGTCAGGATGGGTGCTGAGGAGTGATGGTATTATGACCAGGAAGATCTGAGGCCTAGTTGAGAGCAGGGTGGCCTCAACCATAAAGAATCAATGTCCACACCCTGCTCCCACCCACCTCACTGGCTGCTTTGGAAGTCTCAGTTCAGCAAACAGTCTCTCCCTTATAGTGTGGGGCCTGAGTAGGCATTTGTTTGTTTTGTCTTTGAGACAGAGTCTTATTATGTATCCCTGGCTGGCCTAGAACTCACTAGTAGACCAGGCTGGCCTTGAACTCACAGAAATCCACCTCCATCTGTCTCCTGAGTGCTGATGTTAACAATCTAGGGGTAAGGTTGGTCACCATCTAGGCATTGTGGGGTTCATTTTCTCAGCCAATTAAAGAATTTAAGGGTAGGAAAAACCTCAGACACAGCAGAGAACAATAGGCAACAGACTTAATTAAAAGATGAAGAATCACACCCAGAGAATAGGACTCCCAAGTAGAGGGGTTCAGAAACCAAAATCCAAGTCCCCCTGGGAAGGCCTGGGTTCTTAAGTGTTTTAGTGGATCCCTCTCACCTGGGCCTTTGTCTCCGAATAAGATGAACAAGTAAGTATATCATCTTTATTACTCATCAGTGTCCCTTTCCCTATGTACCTACCTGTCCCCCAAATATGGCTAGTTCCTAGCCCCATTCTGGGGTTACAGGCATGAGTTACCACACCTGACTCTAGTGGGCATTTTTTATAGATACCTTCTCTAGTAGGCTGTGGTTCCCACCTCCTTCCTGGAGGGGAGGAGTCAGGGTATGTGGCTCTAGCTGGAATGCAGTGTGCAGAGGTGGGAATGCTGGTGACCTCAGAGAATCAGGCTCCAGTGGCAAAACCACAGTTCAGTGGTAGAAAGGACCAAGAGCCGGGGGGGGGGGTCATTTTCAGGCTAGTATCTGTGAACCATCCTGGCTATTGGAGGACCAAATGTGTGTGCCCAGCCCTCACAGAGACACCAGGGATGCTGAGGGGGAAGGGACAGCTGCCTGGGACCATCTACCCTCAAGTTGGGCTCTCCTGCACAGACTGGAGCTGTATGTACTGGTTCCAGAGCATCCTCATCTGTGCCTCAGTTCTCCATCTGTAAAGGGTGCTAGGGAGGGGATGGCAACAGCCTTGGTTCCTCCTTTATATCTTCCATTTGGAGAAAGGGGGAGGCAGGGATTTCCCAGAAATGTCCTCGGAGACCCTCACCTCATCTCCTGCAAAGGCATAAAGAGGCAGCAAGGACAGACCCAGACTACTCTAGCCCCAACAGCCCAGCCTGTTGTTCCCCATTCCACCCCCTTCCTGGATGATCTAGAACACTCTCCATTCTTTGGCCATAGACCAAAACTCCCTCTTGTGCCTGGGGTAGAAGGAGGCTGCTTTCCCCACTCTCCCCATTCCCGGTTCCTTAGCATGAGGCTCAGCTAGGTCCTGACTAACACATCATGTATCATTCCCTTACTGGCACTGTAGTTCACAGCTCTCAACAGCAGGTACATAGCGCCCTGGAGCATAGAGGAGAGCTGGGCCATGGAAATCTTGTTAGCCACTAGGCCCTTTCTAAGTGCTTTAACCACAAATTCAGTCCTCCCAGCAGCCCATGAGATGCTGTTAATGCTTTCCACCTTACTGAAGAGAAAAGGCAGAGTGAAGGGGGGGTGTGGCACAAGCCTGACTGGAGCTCCTAAGTGACAGCTCAGGTTCCATCACTGCATGTGGACTGACTCCAGAGTGTTCCCCTCACCTCAACTGCTACATGGAGCTCCTGATGGGGCTGGGGTCAGGGCAGGGGCTCTGGTGGCCTGCTGGGCCACTCAAAGGTTTCCAGAGGGTGTGTGGACATTACAAATAGCAGACTTAAGTTCAGATCCCAGTTCTGCCGCCCAAGCCCAAACTCTTCCACCCGGGGTGGGGGGGTGGGAGGTGTATCTGAAGCCAGCATGAGGAGTGCATAGCCCTGCCTCAGGCAGTGGGGGAGGGCTGGCTCTTGTTCATTTATTTCCACCTGTTCCTGCGACCAGTTGGCTATTTCAATACATGTATGTATACAACTTGCAGTGATCAGGGTAATTAGCACAGTGACACAGAAGGATGACTGTAGCCAACTTTGACATGTCTGTTCCAACCTATGTAAGCTAGTAGACTCTTTAGCAAGAGGACAATAGGAGGTCCCTGTTCTCTGTCAGACTTCTGCAAAAGTATTTCCCTAAGCATCTTGGGAGGGCCCTCAGTCCCCTTTCCCAGGCCCATGGGGATAATACCATCCAGTCATTGTCTCTGCACTCTTTCCTGACTGGCCTTCCACAGGGAGGAGCCTTTGAAATTGCAATAGTCAAAACCAGTTGACCAGCTGGATGTGGTGGCTCCTGTCTTTAATCCCAGCACTCAGGAGGCAGAGGCAGGTAGATCTCTGGTCTATGTGGTGAGTTCCAGGTCAGCTGGGGTTACAGGGAGGCCCTGTCTCTAAATAAATAAATAATCCATTGACCAGCTGTGACCAGTTAATGGGCTGGATGCAGTGTCACAAGGGAACAATAAATGTTCCAAGTACAATAGCAGACCATAGTCAAGACAGGAAGGATGAAAGAGCCTCCTTTACAGTTTTCTTCCAACCCCTTCCTGACCCCTACCCCAGTTAGTATAGAAAGACACAGGCATTTCAGCACTTTTTTTTTTTTTTCGAGACAGGGTCTCCCTGTAGTCCCAGCTGACCAGAAACTTGCTATGAACTCACAGAGATCCACCTGCCTCTGCTTCCCAGGTTCTGGGACTAAAGGTATGCACCACCACACCTAGCACTAGTTTCAGTCTTTTTTGAACTTAAAGAAAATTATGTTTTCATTTGGGAATGTTGGCCTAGAGTGTTTGCCTAGCATACATAAAGGCTTGGGTTCAGCCCTTAGCACCATGCTTGAACCAGGTGTGGTAGTACATGTCTGTAATTCCAGCATTTAGAAAGTAGAGGCAGGAGAATCAGAAATTTAAGGTTTAACTCTCTTCAGCGATATAGGAAGTTTGAGGCCAGCCAAGGCTACAAAAAAAAAAAAAAAAGACAAAAAAAGGGAGCTGGGCATGGTGGCATACACCTTTAATCCAAGCACTCAGAGGGAGAGGTGGCAGGTGGATATATCTGTGAGATTGAGCCAGCCTGGTCTACATATCGAGTTGCAGTCCAGCTGGGGCTGCAGGGAGACCTTGTCCCCAAAAGATGGATGGAAAGAAGGAAGGAAAGGAAGGAAGGAAGGAAGGAAGGAAGGAAGGAAGGAAGGAAGGAAGGAAGGAAGGAAGGAAATCAAGCAAGTAGTTTAGTTGTTCAAGTATCTTCCTTGCATGCTCCTCAAGAACACAATGTATATGGCTCTCCATTGACCCACCCAAGTGGCCCAGGGGTCCCCAATTACAAGTGTCCACACACACATTTTGTGCACTATGTTTATAAAAAGTGGATAAATCTAACATTTTTGAGCCAAATCTTATTTTACATTCAGTAAAAAAAGACTATGGCCCACAGAAAGCTTTTCGGAAGAGTTGAACTCTTTCTTTCATGAAAGCACTCCATCTTCCTAGGGGTCTTTTAGGCACATTTGAAGAGCCCCTGTGCTGGGCAAAGCAGATAGGACAAGTGAGGGATGTTAAATAAGGCGCCCGAGGCCTGGGGAGGATTAAGAGGGGCTTATGGGTAACTCTGGCCTTCCCAGTCCTATGTCTGTGACTGACCAACATCTAGCTGTCTTTCTGTCCATCTGTCTGCTCTGCCTATCCATCAACAGCTCTCTCACCCTATCTCTGCCGGCTGTCTGGGTGCTATACCAGCTGTCTGTCCACCTGACTGTCTTCTCTCCTTCAGGATGCTTTCCATGCCTTCCACCAGGATCTCCAGTATGTGCGCAAGTTCCTAAAGCCCCTGCTGATTGGAGAGCTGGCCCCGGAGGAGCCCAGTCAGGACGGAGCTCAGAATGTGAGGGGGGCAGCTGTAGGCTTGGGGATATTGCTCATTCCCAGTAGCAACTCCTAGTTACTTCTGGGAGATGCAGGGTCAGGGCTGGGTCTGTACCCCTTTCTGGGCCACAGTCAAAAGTGAAGCCATAGTGATGTCCTGTTGAACTAAGCCTCCAGATCTGACTTGTCTGGACACTTGCTGTGGGTTCCCAGGTGAGCCCTGTTCCTGCTCTGGGCCCAATGACCCCCATCTACAATGAGGATGTTTTTGAGCCCTAAGGGGTTTTCCCTACTGGCTCTGGTTTTCTCTGCTTCTTACCCACCACACCTTTTGAGCATGGGAGGGGGTTTGGCTGCTGGCTAGTTGCCCAGCTCACATACCCTGCCTGGTACTCTTGTTCTTCCATCCATTGCCCTTGCCAACACCTCCTGGACCCAGCAGTGGGAGGAGTGACTGTGGCTTGAGGAGGGATTAGAAATTTCTGGGGACCATGGTGGGGGTCCGAGGCCTGTGACAGGGCCCACTTCCTCAGATGATGGACCACTCTCCTGCGGTAGGCCCAGCTCATCAAGGACTACCGAGCCCTGCGCCAGGCAGCTGAAGACATGAAGCTGTTTGAAGCCGACCCCATCTTCTTTGCACTCCTGCTGGGCCACATCCTGGCCATGGAAGTATTGGCTTGGCTCATCGTCTACCTCCTGGGCCCTGGCTGGGTGTCCAGCACCCTGGCTGCCCTCATCCTGGCCATCTCCCAGGTGACCCCAAGACTACCCAACAAATATGGGGCCCAACATATGTGGACACTCAGGACAGTCCTGAATGTCACAGCCCTATGTCAAGACTTGTATAAGGGAAGAAAAGCATGATCCTTTGATCCTTTTATCTATCATGAAGGTCAGTGTTGACACTCCTGTGACAAAAGACAGGCTAGCCAGAGAAAAGCCTAGAAAATATATCTGATCTTAGTTTTACATGACACAGGAGCCTTCGGATTGAAGACCAAAAGACCAGGGTGAACTATCACAGTTTTTATTTGTTTGTTTGTTTGTTTGTTTGTTTTGGTCTTTTTGGTCTCCCTGTAGCCCCAGCTGTCCTGGAACTCACTATGTAGACCCGGCTGGCCTTGAACTCACAGAGATCTGCCTGCCTCTACCTCCTGAGTACTGGGATTAAAGGCGTGCACCACCACACCCGGCTTTTTTACACTTAGGTTCTATGGAGCAAGGACAGCCATGTAGAAAGTGAAGGGTCTGAGCAGATGGAAACAGACTGGGTCAGATACCTGGCAAAGCCTGTCTGCTCAGATTCCTCTTGGCCACTCTCCACCACATTCCTCCCTCCTGGGAATGGGACAGAATGCTTTTTGAAATGGTGGGGGGGTTCCATGATCCATTATCAGATGAGATAGTCAGAATTTCTTTATGGTCAGCTCTAAGACAAAAGGGAAAATTAGAGCAATAATTTTACGCATTTGGAAAGAGGAGTTCTGGTTTCTACCGCTTGCCTTAGGTAAGGTAGAGAATTCTAGGTTCTGATGCTTGCCTTGGGGAGGCAGGGAAGCAGGAGACTGGAGCCATGAGGAGAGCAGATGGCATCTGAGGCCTTCACTTGGGGGTATGATTTTCTGAGCCCTAACGTTTGTATATACCCCCACCAAACTCTGTTGTGCTGGTTAAATAAACAAGGCAGCTGGCTTCAGCTGGGACTTGAAATGGGGCATTAGCCTTAGGGTGGACCCAGAAGAGACTCAGGCCCCCTCTCCCATTACCACTGGGTTCCTCCACCTGCTCCTGACCCACCCCTCTCCACAGGCCCAGTGCTGGTGTCTGCAGCATGACCTAGGTCATGCCTCCATCTTCACAAAGTCCCAGTGGAACCATGTGGCCCAGCAGTTTGTGATGGGGCAGTTGAAGGTGAGTACAGGGCTTGTGGGCCTCCAGGCACTGAACTGGGGCTCCATGCTGGGTCTGCTCAAGTATGTGGGTACCACGTGGGGGCACAGCCTGGCCTTGCTCCTGAACTCATTTCCCACAGGGCTTCTCTGCCCACTGGTGGAACTTCCGCCATTTCCAGCACCACGCCAAGCCAAACATCTTCCACAAGGACCCAGATGTGACAGTGGCACCTGTCTTCCTCCTGGGGGAGTCATCTGTGGAGGTAGGTGGAATGGGGCATGGACATCCTCAGGACAGGCCTGAAGCTAAGGGGACTTTGGCAGGGACTGAGCCCCCCCACACTGACCCACGGCTTAGCCCCTACTCTCGCTCCATGCACAATACCTACCTTCCCCATCTCCTAGCCACCAGGGGATGAGCAGTCCAGTGGCTAGAATCTAGAGTTGCCTTTGACCTTGGCCTGAAGAGCTGCTCTCCCCTGTCTCCACAGTACGGCAAGAAGAAACGCAGATATCTGCCCTACAACCACCAGCACCTGTACTTCTTCCTGAGTGAGTATCTACCGGCCCTTCGGAGTAGAAATGTGGCAGGACCCGGCCTCAGCCTGTGCTGCTATCCCAGCCGACTGAAGCTTTGGCTGTCCTCACTCTTCCAACGCTGTGGAACTCCCTGCCCTCCCCAGTCCGAGCCCCTCTGCCCTCACATCAGGGTTGTCTGGAGCCACAGAGACAGGGTGGATTCAAGGGCTGGAATGCAAAGTCTGGCCCCTGACCTGCAGCAGAAGGGACAAGGGAAACAGGAGAGAGAGGGGTGAGGGCCAGTCACCAAGAGACTGAGCATGAATTGGGCCTTGTCAGCACCGTGAGGTCATCTCAGTGCACAGGTCCAGCACTGACATCTTATGGGCATTCTTGGAGGAACCTCCTCCCCTCCACCATCCACCTCACCTGGGTTCCCCAGTCCTATTCCTGCACCCTCTCATGCCCTCTTCTTGCAGTTGGCCCACCGCTGCTTACCTTGGTGAACTTTGAAGTGGAGAATCTGGCATACATGCTGGTGTGCATGCAGTGGACGGTGAGTGGGTGCTGTTCAGGACTCCCGGCATGCAGCTACAGAGGCAGGGATCCTCAGGGGACAGCGCTGTCCACCCATGAGTGCAGATGGTTGCACGTGTATGTGCTTGATGTGTTTGTGTGTGTGTGTGCAAGAAGAGAGGAAGTGTGGCCCTGGGGGTGCGCTGTGAGTCCTTTACTGTGAGGGAGCTCCCCCTCCTGGGGAGAATCACTGAGCTGATGCGAGCCACCAGTGTCCCAGGCATAGGCTGCCCAAATGTACCATCTAAAGACACCTGAATATGGTGACAAGGCAGGGACACCTGTCCTTTTACCCAGTCAAGAAAGCAGAAACCCAGTGAGGGGCAGTTGCCTGTTTAGAGCCCTGAAGCAAAGGAAAGAGAGCTGGACAACCCCAGCCCCTCCTCCCACCTCCCAGACCCCCCCACTCCCCACAGAGGCCACTCAGCACTGCCTCTACCCTCCTTGCAGGACTTGCTCTGGGCTGCCAGCTTCTACTCCCGCTTCTTCTTGTCCTACGTTCCCTTCTATGGTGCCACTGGGGCGCTGTTCCTCTTTGTTGCTGTCAGGTATGCCCAGTTTGGGAATGGCAGGAAGTGGGGAGATCTTACACAGGTTGCAGTCCTCCCTGCCTAGCCACATTTGACCCTCTGTAGTATGGGCAGGACCCAGGGGTTGGAGGGTCTGTGGGAAGATGCCTGGCTTGGTTATGGCCCTGTGAGTGGCCCTCCTGAAAAGACTGGTCTGGGCCCAGCCATGCCGGGGACACTGCTCCATGCAGTTTCTTTAAATGTCAAGGATAGAGCAACTAGATAATCCCATTGTATACATGATGAAGCTGGGGCCTGGGTCTGGGTTCAGCTGTGCCCCAGCCTCCACTCAGGGTGCCTTAAGTGGAGAGCTGGATTCAGGACAGTACCTGCACCTTCTACTCAGGGTCTTGGAGAGCCACTGGTTCGTGTGGATCACACAGATGAACCACATCCCCAAGGAGATTGGCCATGAGAAACACCGGGACTGGGCCAGCTCTCAGGTGGGCAGTGGCAAAGAAGGCTGGGTGGAGCCCATCCTGGGGTGGTGGGAGGGGATGCCAGCTAGGGAGCCATGGTTTGGGAGGGATCAGGCCCTGTTGAAGTCAGCAGGTGCTGGAGGCATGTGATAGGGGTCAAGGTTCCAAGTTAGCCTTTCTCACTTGTACCCCTCCTGGTCCTGGCAGCTGGCAGCCACCTGCAACGTGGAGCCTTCGCTCTTCATTGACTGGTTCAGTGGGCACCTCAACTTCCAGATTGAGCACCAGTGAGTGTGGTCTATAGGGCTCAGTGGGTACATGGTGAGGGCAAAACCAGAGTCCAGTATTTACCTTGCTAGGGTCCCTGCAAGAGGTGACTAAGAGTCTGGGAGGTGAGTGGGTGGGACTCCCTCTAGCAGCTTCCACTCAGGTCTAGCCTGCCTGTCTCCCCACCCCTAGCCTCTTTCCCACGATGCCGAGGCACAATTACCGCAAGGTGGCCCCTCTGGTCAAGGCGTTCTGTGCCAAGCACGGTCTACACTACGAGGTGAAGCCCTTCCTCACAGCCCTGGTGGATATCATCGGGTAAGGCTGAATGTGCTGTTCATGGGTCCACATTTACCCTTGTCCCAGTCAGCTCATCCTGAGCACTTGTCCCTTCCTAAGAGCTAGCTTTCCAGACTTTTCCTAACCATCCAGTGCTCCCCCTGTTTCCCAGCATGAAGAATTCATGGAGCCCCTACAAATACCACAGTGAACCAGACAGGATGAGACATTCCTGCCTCATGGGAGATGATATTTTAGTGGGTAAAACAGAGAGTAGTTATGGGGCTGGGGAGATGGCTGAGTGGGTAATATGCTTGCCTTGCAAGATCAGGACCTAAGTTCAAATCCCCAGCACCCATGTAGAAAGCCAGGCATGGTGGTGTGGGCTTGTAATCCCAGGACTGGGGAAGAGGAAACAGGAGGCTCTCCAGGGCTTGCTAGCCAGCTACTGTAGACAGTCACTTCTAGGTTTAGTGAGAGCCCTTGCCTCAAAAAATAAGGTAGAGCCGGGCATGGTGGCGCACGCCTGTAGTCCCAGCACTTGGGAGGCAGAGGCAGGTGGATTTCTGTGAGTTCAAGTCCAGCCTGGTCTACATAGTGAGCTCCAGGCCGGCTGGGGCTACAAGGAAACTCTGTTTCAAAAAGATTAAAAATAATAATAATAAAAAAATAAGGTGGAGAAGTGATTGAGGAAGACACCCAACATCAACCTCTGGCCTTCATATGCATTTGTGTGCATGTGTGCACATGCACATACATACACACACACACACACACACACACACACACACACTCACGAAAAAGAATGAAAAAAAGTAATGAGTAAATTAAAAAAACTCAAGAAACACTTTAGCAACATATAACAAGAATGAAACCTAGGAGGGAGGCAGGAGGGGATGTGGAGAGCCAGGCTGGGTATGTGGTTACTCATAGCATAGCAGGTGGAGAATATGGAGAGGCTGGCATGTGAGCAGAGGCAAGAAGTAGGGATGGGCATCTGGCTGAAGAGTATTCCAGACAAAGGTCATCACAGTGCAAAGGCCCTGAGGCAGGATTGTGCTGACGCAGGATTATGCTGAGGCATGAGGAGAATCACTGAGCAGTGGAGGGACTACCTGACTTTCAACTTGGAAGGATGCTCTGAATGGTATCACTCTGAGCAAGAGTAGAAGCAGAAAGAGACATGACAAGGGACCTGTTCCTTCCCAGGCAGGGGAGATGGGGCTCAGCCCCTAGGAACAGCCTTGAAGGCCTGCCTCCCATGTCACCTGGTTCTTTTCTTGGATGCCCTTCCATCTATCCTGCCATCCAGAGCTCTGCTTCTCCTTCATGAGCCTTCCCAACCTGGCCCTCTGAGCCCTTGACACTTGGTATACCCTCATTAGCACCTGGCATGGAGGTTCCTAGTGAGTTGGTGTTTCTGGCTCCGGAACATGTCTTTGGGCTCCTGATGGGGCAGGTTCTGGGGCCCCTATGTTTGGGTTGCAGAATGCAGCGTGGAGAGGTAACAGGGAGAAGCCAGTGAATGATGGCCAGGCTCACTGACTTCCAACTAGACTTGGCCATCAGCCACTTATCTGTCACAGTCCAGATTCCACTCTGGTTAATGAGTACCTGGCCCCACACAGCTGCCTATCCCAGGGGGGATGGGGACTCACAGGGACGTCTCCACTCAACAGTGCTCATAGGACACAGGAGTCCCTGACCTCTAACCCCACCTCTCAGGTCCTTGAAGAAGTCTGGTGACATCTGGCTGGATGCATACCTCCACCAATGAAGACAGCGCCTTGGAGGGTGATGAAGGGGGTGAGGATCCAGACTCCAGCAAACACCAAGTCATCCAGCAGGATCAACAGACCCCCTCATCCCCTGCGGGGGCACCCTGCCTGCCTGCCTGGTCCTGCATTGTCTGTTCAGGAGCCCTATGGCTGTGGCTTGTGCCCAACAGGACCAGGGGTGAAGGGAACATACTTAAAGCTACACGGTGAGCATAGCATGTTTTCCCAGAACAAGAATTGGAGGAAAACTGTTATTTTTTATATAAAACCAACTCAGACACATAGAGCCAAGTGTTGCATTTACATAGATCTGCTTTGGCCATCAGTGGGATGAGCATTCCCCTCCTCCCGGCGAGCTCTGGTCAATGAAGGTGACAGCTGCTCTAGCTTGAATCCACCTGAGGGCTTGGTCCCTCCCTTCCTGCTCATACGCCCCTGGGATGAGTCATACATTCAACAGCCCAGGGCTGAGGGTCACATCTGTAGGAGCCTCTGGGCTATGGGATGGTAAAGCCTGTATGTCTATACTGGCCTCCTATAGCCCAGTAGTGGCCATCTACAGAGTCGGACACATTGGACACAGCATGGACAGTGGCAGTGAAGCCAGCAGCTATCCATCAGGTCCACCTGGGGCCAGGTGCTTGTCTCCAGTTGTCACCCTGAATAGGCAGGGGCCGAGGTATGGCCATTTTGTCCCCAGGTTTTTGGACTCTGAAGACTGGTCCTTGGGCAGGCCTGGCCCCTTACTTAGCCTCAGGCTCCTTGTTTGGTCAGTGGGTGCAGTAGACAGTGCCTATGAACTTTTGGACAGTTCTAGCAGAGGTTTTCTTTGTTTTATATTGGTTTGCATTTTCACAGTGCTAGAGATAGAACCTACCCCCATTGCTAAGCACATACTCTGTCATTGGGCTAAACAACCCTAATTGGGGAAGGCCTTTTTAATTTCAGCACTACAGATCAAACTCAGGCCCTACCCATACTAGGTAAGTACTTTACCACTGACCTACACCCCAGGGTTGGTGAGGAAAAAGGAGAGGTAAGCTGTGGACCCCTCCACTCCTAGCACAGACCCTCTATGCCCCAGGATGAGCTGGAGACCTCATTTGAAGAGGTACTGGAGGCTTTAAGCAACAACACCACCAACTAAAATGCTGAGCTAGGATCTCTCTGAGGGAACTGAGGTCACCCCACCAGCTGTGGGCTTTTTTCTCACTCTTTGCCAAGGCTCCTATTGGTCTAGAGTGTCTCATTGAGACATGGGAAGGGGACAGATATTGCAGTTCTGGTTATACCCTGCTCTGCTCCATGGGGTTGAACTAAGGGGAGAGGCCTTCACTGCATCTTCAACTGTTCAAGACCCAATGCCTCCTAATGTTGATGGAGACCATGATAGTGCTTGATTACTCTTTTCTTGGGGTTCACCTTCTGGGATGCCCTTCTAATCCACAGGGTTCCTCCCCTGGACAGCTCAGCACATTCCCAGTGACTAGTCTGGCCTAAGAGGCCTTACTTAGCCTGCTTTGAGAAGGTGATGGGCAGACTGGGTATGGTACCCTTCCCTCACCCTGGATTAAGAGAGTACAGGATGGCCCTACTGCACTCACATCACCTCCTGGGCCTAGGGCAGGCAAAGAACCTCCTGGGTATAGCTGAGGAAGCAGAGGCTGGTGGGCCTTCAGCTGCTGGACACTCAACCCTGAACCACTCCACTCCATGTTGCGTCTACCCTTTACTCTGGGGTCAGGTGAACCTGGGGGAGGGGGCGCTAAGTCCTGCCTCTGCCAGGACTCAAGGCTACTTGACCTCAGGGAAACAAAGTCAAAGTACCATGTGATGGGGAATAAAAGGGATGTCACAGGAAGACACTTAGCAAAGGGCCCAGCAACTTGGCTCAGAAGTGTATTCACAAAGGCCAGCCACAGTGGCACATGCCTTTAATCCCAGAGGCAGGCAGTGCTCTGTGAGTGTGAAGCCAGCCTGGTCTACGTAATGAGTTCTAAGACGGCCAGGGCTACCTTGTCTCAGGAAGAAAAACAAAAAAACATATTTACAAATCTTATATACATGATCCCTTGCCCTGGGCTTACACTCTGTGCCCCAAGATAAGCCCTTAGCCTTCTCTTTTCCTCCTTCAGGTAAGACTGGATGTCTTTTGAAAGGTACATCTGTAATCCCAGCTATAGGAGGATCACAAATTCAAAGACAGCTAAGGCATCTTAATGAGATCCTGTCTCAAAACTATATTTTTAAGGGGCTGGGGATGTAGCTCAGTTGCAGAGTGTTTGTTTAATATGTACAGATTGTGGGTTCCAGCCCTAGCACTAAAAAGAAAAAAAAAAAAGAGAGAAAAACTGCTTCAAAAGCAAATTTCTTATGCAGAGTATGTTTCACATTCAATGTCTCTGTACAGGTTGTTCCCACTGCAAGGGGTCTCCCTCCTGTTCAAATTTTAATCTTGGTTTGGTGCCATATGGATATAGCCAAGCCAGGGAGGGTTGTGAAGGGTATTCCCTCCACCCACTGCCTGGCAGTGCCATCTCCACTCTTGACAGATGGTCAGCAGAGTTCTGTTGGTGTCTGACACACTTGGGACATGTTCATTCAGCACTCTGGGAGACTATGTGCTCTGCCCAGTGGGATCACTGGGCCTATAGCACCACCCATGGGCGTCTACACCACTGTACTCCATGCTGGCCCTAGTGGTAGCCCAGGAAAGTGCACTCTTTGCAAATTCTTAGTTCCCCAGTAACTTGGTAAAAGTCCCCTGGGTAGACCCCTACCCTCAGGTCTCTTCTCCCTTCTGCCTAGAACCAATTACTGGCAGGTCATCTTTGTCCCTTGTAACCCTTTGTCATCTATACTAGAGCATCTCACAGTGGGTCACCTACACTCCCCTGAGCCCCACTTCCCTGCCTATAGATTTCTTATTTTGTCATAGCAAAGACAGAGAGATCACAGACTTGCTTGTAAAAGGGACAGGAAAAGGCCTTGGTGGTGCCTCTAAGAGACCTCATTGTCCCTGTTTTTATTGTCTGTACAACAGCCCTGGGTCCAGAAATAAAGCCTGAGGGAAGCCACTGCTTACTTGTTCTTTGAATCCACCAACATCTAAGTCTCCAGTAGCTAGTTCACAAGAACCAGCCCCTGCCTGTCCTATGGAGTGGCCATCGGTAGGCAGACAAAGGCCTTGTGAAAGGACAGTGTGAAAACACACTGCATCCTGGAACCCCTCATTGCTTTCCAAACTCCAGGTTCCTGTGACTAATTCTTTTGGACACTGGGAAGACACACCTAACTGCCTTCAAAGTCCAAAAAAAAAGCATTGGTAATGGTGGAGGGCAGTAGGGCAGTGATTGCAATAATTCTAATACATTAGGGGACTGCGTGTGCCCTTTACGTATAAAGCTTCTCTGGTTAGAAATGTAAAATCCCATTGATCAAAAGAGCCCTGGTGTCCAGAGCCTGCAGCAAGCTTCCTTCAGCCTTCACAGGTCACCAAATGATCCACTGAATTCCACTGCTGATTGGTCCATCTCAAAACAGCTGTCTCGTGGTTTCTTCCCTCTGAGATGACACAGCAGAGCCTCAGTGGGCCCAAGGCACAGCAGCCCATGTTAGTTCTGGTGGCTGCAACCTCTGCTCCATTCCTTCCTGCCAAAGGCCTCCTCGCCTTTCCCAATGGGCCCAAAGGGCTCCTGAGTGTACAAGGAACATATCAGGCTGTTGATCACCTCTAGGCCTCCAGCCACAAGTCCGTGTACATGCGTGTGTGTGCACGCACGCACACATACACAGGCATGCATGCATGCACACACACACAGGCTGCTTCACACGTCCCACCTCTGGGCCTGGTGCCCTGCCCTGTACCTCTCCCTCAAAGCTGATATGGTTATCTCAGTAGCCACTCTACCACTGATGAGCCTTATCTTCTCTACCTGGAAACTCACCCTCCCTCTACCCACAAAGCCTCCTGTATGTACAGTGTGTCATTTGGCATGATGGGAGAAGGAAGAAAAATGGCTAAGCCGAGTGGATTAGAAGCAGAAATCCTGTGTGTATTCTCTGATTCATCTGCTATCACTGCACAGCCTCAGGGCGAGTCCTTCTCTCTGGACTGTGAATGGAGGTGTCAGCGTTTGATTGCTCTGGGGGCAGAACCCCACAGTTCAAGAAGAGCTGTCAAGCAGAGAGTAGGTATGGATGCCCTCGGCTTCTTGACCTTGGGTAGTCCTCAAGGGCAAGGCAGGAGTGGGTGTGTGTATAGGGGTGGGGGCTGTCACAGAGAAGACCCATGTACCTAAGGATCTGGGCACAGATTTGCCTGGTGCTCTCACAGCTAAGCACCCATCTCGCCCTGCAGTGCCCCACTCAATCACCCTCCCACTCCCCAGTTCCCTGGGTGTCACAGGCAATAGTCCCTGGATTCCCAGTTGTCAGGGCCTGGGCTGAGTCATCCTGGGAATTGGGGGTCCAAGGTCCAGCCCAGATGGCAAGTAGAGCACAGACACAGTTAAGGACTGAAGATGTTCAGCAAGGTCTGTCATCCTCAAGGCCTCCAGTGGGCCTGTGATGACAGGCAGAGCCAGGGCTCACAGAGACTGAGAAATGTCAGCATCTTGGGAGTCTTTCTCACTCAAGGGAATGAAAGTTTCTTCTGGAGCTCTCCCCAACCCCATTGGGAGCTGTGGGCAAGGCCAGCAGAGACCCTCTGAAGTGCTGGCCACCTCATGCCTCTTTGTCCTTCCCTGGTACATCTGGAGCGACCTGGCTGAGCCAGTCCATAGGCAGATGCTTAGAGTGCAGCACGTAACTAAGTGGAAGGCAAACTGGGCAAGTGCCTCAGGTGTGGGATTCTTCAGACTCTTCCCAGGTTCAGGGTCAGACAGACTGGAGGCCTCTGCATATGATCAGGTGGCCAGTCCCTAGGGTGTAGGGACTGACAGAACCACCACACGGGCACAGCAGCTCAGAACAGAATCCTTGGTCTGCAGCGCTGCCCTGGCCTCCCAGACCCTGTAACACCACACCCACCGCATTAGCATACAGAACACTAGCCATCCTTTGCTCTTTCTGAGCTACAAGCAAATGAGAATAAAATTACTTTTTTTTATTTCCCAACAAAGTAGGGGTGAAGAAGCAATGTGATACAAATTAAGATCAGTTCCTTATAGGTTACTTTGCCTCTGGGGTGTGTAGGGGGGAACACCAGTTGGTCTCTCTTAACTGGCTAGAACTGGGATTACCTAGAAGCGTTCCTCAGATCACTCTTGGCCTCTCCCTCAGACCTAGACATCGGTTAGTGGGTTAGATTTCAGAATGACACAGTGTGGGTCTCTCCTGATACAGCCAATACCTCCTGCCCCCTCACCCTTCCCCCATGCCCTCAGCTGCCCTGGCCTCCAGCTCAGCCTCCCCTTCCTTCTCTGTTCCTGCTTGGCCCTCACTAGATTCCCCCCTTCCCATGGTCCTCCTGAGACCCACCTATCCCCCACTTCCCCTGCCTTACTCCACAGCATCTAGTGTGGCCTTCATGTGGGAGCCTGGCTCTGCCCACAGAGGCTTAGGGGAGCCTGGCAAGGGGCATCTAGTAAAGGTAGATTGTCTTAAGGCCCAGGCCTTGGTTACCCTCCTATTAGAAAGCATCCTGTAGCCAGTGTTAACACAGCAACGGCTAAAAGAAAGAGTAAAAACAGGAAAGAGTAGGTGAGTGGCCAAGTGCTGGCTAGAGTTGCAGTCCCACTCAGAGAATTTCAGCAAGCTCAGGGACCCTCTTGCAGGCCCCACACCCTCTAGGCCAAGCACACTGGAACTGGCCAGAGGATTTGGAAGGAGATCGAGCCCTCTAGAATCCGAAGTCTCTCAAGACAAGCATGTGGCTGGGGTGGAAGGTGGGCTGCAGCTCCAGGCTGGCTAGTCCCTCCCTTATCCTGGTCACTGCCTCTGCTGAGCCCACAAAAGGGACACCCCCTTTGGTCTCTGAAGTTGGGTAGACAATGGATTAGAACCTGTAAAAAAAACCTCAGGTCCTGGCGCTGTGGTGGTAGGCACAGGAGGGCTCCTCCCTGGGCCTCAAGGTTCTAAGCTGAACCTGGGCAGCTGGTGAGAGGCCCTAAGTACCAATCCCAGCCATGGGAAGGACATCCAAAATACAAAGTACGCCTTCCTCCAAACAGGTATATCTTAAGGCTAGAGGGAGGTTGAAGCCAGGCCTGGACACTATCCCATGGCCTTCAAAAGTGTCTGTGGGACAAAAGGGGGGAACCTAAGGCCTGGTAACCAGGCTGCAAGGAGGGGGTCTCAGGTCAGTCACTAGAAGCCCTGGCCTCTAAAGATCATTAAGGGCAGAAGCTAGAGGCAAAGGCATAGCGATCTGCTATGGTTCCTCTCTCTCATTCCTTGGGAGAAAGAGCTCTAGAAGGCAGAAGGGACAGGGCTAGCGCTGACAGAGAGGACCCCATGAAGGGATAGGTGTGGGGGATTGTAAGAAGGGAAGGGCAAGAAATGAAGAAAGACTAAGCATGGGGTATGAGAGCCAGTGAGTACTCCAGTCTCATGGGAACCCTTCAGAACAAAAGCCCTCCCCTCCCTCTAGTCATCACCCCCACCTGTGGCCCTTCCCCACCAGTGCCCCAAGGACTGCTGCTTCATTTATGGAGGTAGGCATCCAGCCACAGCTGCCCAGACTTCTTCAGGGAGCTGCAAAGAGAGAGGGAACCAGGGCTCAGGAACCAGGATGGAAGGAGGCCAAGGCTTCCAGGAGGCGGGGCGGCTAGGAAATCATGCCGTGGTGGGGGGGGGGAGGCACTTCCTGTCAGTTGCTGACAAGGGCTTGCCACTGCTCTAGGGGCTGTGGGCTACTGGCTAATGCTCCCCAGGGAAACCTCTGAGAAAAGATGAGGGGAAAGTCCTCTTCCAGGCCTGGGTGGATGGAAGGTCAAGGGTCTCCACTGCAAGTAAGCCCAGCCATGTGCCTCTTATCCCCTTAGCTACTCTGCACCCCTGGCTCCTGCATTCCCTGAGTCTCAAGGGGCCAGCACCAGTCAACCCCGCCCCTCACCTGATGATGTCCAGCATGGCCCTCAGTAGTGGCTTCTCTTGGTACTCGATGCTGTGCTTGGCACATAGAGACTTCACCAGCGGGGCAATCTTGTGCAAGTTGTGCCGGGGCATGGTGGGGAAGAGACTGGGGGAGTGTGGGTAGGCAGAGTGAGTACACGCTGGACCCATGCTCCCAACCTCTTCCTACAGCCCAGGGAGGCTGCTGTCCTGAGGCCCTATCTGAAACCAGAACAAGAATGTGTGGCTCCTTCCAAGTGCCTGCAGGGACTGCCAAGGTTGTGTAGAGGGGCGATTTATGAGCACAGGTATGTCTATGCTCTAGAAAGCCGCATTGGTATTGGACAGCCAGAAACAAGGATTCCATGATTTTAAAAAAGAAAAATAAAAAGCAATGAAGTTGAGTATCGTGACTCACGCCTGGATCCCCACACTTGGGAGGCAGAGGCAGAAAAATTGCTCCAAGATCAAGGCCAGGCTGGACTAAAAAAGAATGAGACCCTCTCTCAACCTCCCCCGAACAAGGCAGAATGAAAGGAAATGAGAGAAACAGATGGAAGATGGAGACAAAGGGAAGGGACAGCAGGAACCATTCCTCAGCCACCTGTATTAAGGGCCTGTTATGGAGCCTAGCCTCAGTTTCCCGGTCAATAAACCGGGAGCAATTTCTCCTGCCCTAGGAGCCTTATGGAATCGTGAGATGATCATGCAAGCTCTATATATCTGCAAAGCTTTGGCCACATACTGAGAGCAGTCTCTTTATGGCCATGTGGCACAGGGCCTGAACACCAATGCCTTGGAGAGACATGGGCCCTGAGCCCCCTCTCTTGCCCAGACATGTTTTAGGGTGGGGCAGTCATCTTGCCAGTGGGAAGGAGAGGAGGAGAGAGAGAGAGAGGCAAAGACAGAGAGTGCTAGCTACATGCCACCCATGGCCCATGGACTGGCTGCCACTGCCCTCCCACTCCTTGTAGCCCATCTCCTCCCCCAGCCTCAGTGGGCCACACTCACTGGTGTTCAATCTGGAAGTTGAGGTGCCCACTGAACCAGTCATTGAAGAAAGACTGCTCCACGTTGCAGGTGGCTGCCAGCTATAGAGGGGATAGAAGATAAGTGGCTAGGGGTAAGAGGAAAGCCAAAGGGCCTAGACTTATCCCCAGGACCTTACACAAGGTCTCAGAACCACCTCTCTACATCACACCATTCTATCTAGCAGCCTCAGCCCACCCAGATTCCCCATGGAAGATTCCTGCCATCCTTTCCACACTTTCTCAGTTTGTGTTTGGGGATTTGTTGTTGTTGTTGTTTAAAGATGGTTTCATGTAGTTGTCTGGCCTTGAACTCAATATGTAGCTGAGGATGACTCTGAACTCCTGGTCCTCTTGCCTCCACCTCCCTGGTGTTAAGATCACAAGCATGAGGTACCACCCTGGGTTTATTAGGTGCCAGAGATCAAACCAGGGCCTTATGAACACTAGGCAAGCACCTTACCAACTGAGCTACAACTCAGCCCTCCTGCCACCTTTTTTGCTTAACTCTAAGGCTACCAGCAGGATGCAAGTGGTCCCAGGGAAGCCCAGCACAGCCCTGGATGCACTGGGACAGCCAAGTCTGGATAAGGTCCACGGGGGCCTGGCTCTGCAGGGCTCTTATGACTGGCTTTGCCTTCCCTCACCTGGCTGCTGAACCAGTCCCGGTACTGGTCAAGATCAATCTCCATGACAATGTGGTTCATCTGTGTGACCCACACAAACCAGTGGCTCTCCAGGAACCTAGAAAAGAGCACAACTCAGCACTAGAGCCTCAGGGGGCTCAGCCACATAGGAACAGACCCACTGCCCCCACCCCCCCAGCCCAGGCTCATGTTACAGCTCCATCAATGTCAGTGCTCTTGAGAACTCAGGGTAAACCAGAAATGCTGGGGTACCTGATGAAGTTGAGGAAAACCAGGGCTCCCAGAATGCCGTAGAAAGGGATGTAGGTAGAGAAGAAACGTACATAGTAGCTGATGGCCCAGGTCAAGTCCTGTGGGGTAGACAAGATTAGACTTACCCTGCCCGGCCCTCCTTGGCACGGTGCACCTGACCACAGAGGTGCATGCACACACCTCGGACAGCTCCACACAGGCATCCAAAAGAAACCACAGCAGGCTGCTAGAGTTGGGCACTGGGCCCATGGAGACACGACACTTCCCCAAACCTCCTGTTTGCATGGGATTTGCGTGTGATATGTTTCAGGAAAGAAATGGGCTATTGGCCAAGGGGCAACTCTGGCCAGGGTTGGAGGTTGAACACTCTAGTGGGTCCAGAGGATTCTAAAGGTATGTATATAACCTACAATATGTAGCCAGGTCACTGGCTGTCCTTGGCCTTCCTCCTGCTCATGCACCTGGATAGCCTTCCTCATCTCTTCAGACTGAAAGGGGACACCATCCCTCCCTGACCTCAGTGCTCTCTCAGCAATGCAGACATACTTCCCAGGCAAAGCTTTCCTCTTGGGCCCTCTCCACTCTTCAGTGGTCTGCCCTTCCCTAGGTTGGTAGCAAGGTCCTGAGCCTGGACATCTCTCCTGGAAAGTCTCTGCCCTTCACCACAGGCTCACGGGCAGGCATTGTACAGAGCGGTCCATATCTCTCCACTTCCTTTGCCACTCAAGTCATGTGTCCTGGCTGGACCACAGCAGGAGCCTCCCCTTGCTCTCCTGCTCATCCTCACACACCCAGACAACCTTTGCTCTAAGCAGATCCCATCTCTCTGCTCCAACATCCTATGTCAACTGAGTGGAAACAGAACACTGTCGATCTAGGCCTTTTGCAACAACAACCTGACCCAGCTCACTCCCACCTCAGGGCCTTTGTCCAGCTGTTTTCTTTGCCAGAAAAGCTCAGGCCTAGTCTATGCCTGTACAGAAAATATATTTCAGGAAGGACCGCCCTCTCTGAGGCAATGGAAAACCCCTATAAAGCTTGAAACAACAGGAAAATCTGGGTACATTGCTGTCTTACCTCAGACACAAAATGGAGGATGAATCTAGGACTCCTACATTTTATTACATTCACTTTCATTTCTGAAATGAACTCAGGGCCTCAAGCATGTCAGGCCTGGGCTCTACCACTGAGCCACATTCTCCAGCCCCACTTTAATTTGTTTTGTATAAATGTAGCACAGAAGTAAATGTGTATGTATGCACGCATGTATGGATAGTATATACAAACACACATATACATATAAATACTTGTATGGGTAGGTGTGGTGTTACATACCTTTAATCCCAGCACTTGGGAAGTGGAGGCAGGAAGACTGTAAATTCAAGGCCGGCCTGGGCAACATAGTGAGATCCTGTCTCAAAGTTAAGTGAATAAATAAATGTATGAACCACTGCTTCGGGAGAGAAGCTAAATGAGGAAATGGCTCAGTTGGCAAAATGCTTCTCCAGCAAGCACAAGGGCCTGAGTTTGACCCCCAGGAAAACATTACATTTTACCCCAAGTGAAAATGCTGGGCATGGGTGGTGCACACTTAAACCCAGCACTGGGGAGACAGAGACAGGAGGATTGCTGGGGCTCTCTGGCCAACCAATCTAGCCTAATTGGTGGGCTCCTGGCCAATGAGAGACCCTGCCTCAAAGGAGGCGGACAGTGTTCCCAAAGATGATACCTGAGATTGTCCTCTGGCTCCAATATGCGCCTGCACACACATGCATGCACAAACACATGCACACACATGTATGTACATGCATAAAATAACTAAACTAGATCTATATTAATATCTATCAGATGCCATAATACATATACATTTACACCCAGAGCCAACTGTTATAAAGGTTTATCTGCTCTTCCGACATGACCACTTGACCAGCACTGTGGGGTTCAGGGTCTCTTCAGCTGTGATGCTTCCTGAGGCCGAAAGCAGCCACAATGGAAACAGAAGTCCAGATAGGGGTAGGAGATCTGTGTTCAAATGTCAGCCACTTAGCTGACCCAGAAACATTTCCTTTCCGTGCCCTCATCAGCCTCCTCAGTAAAGCAGGGCTAAACTACATGCAGGTGGCAGGAACCACCTGTACCTGGAACGCAACACATATGGAGGCTGTGGTGGTTTGAATACGTGTCCCCCATAGGTTTCAAGTATATGCCCCCAATTGGGAGGTTTTAGAAGGTGTGGCCTTGCTGGAGAAAGCACGCCACTCAGGGCAGGCTTTGACAGCATACAGCCATGTCCATTTCCGGTCTGCTGTTTCCTGTGCCTGTTTGAAGATGCGAGTGCTTAGCTTTCTGCCCCTGCCACCTCTGCCACCATGCCTCCCCACCATGATGGACTCTTTGCCTCTGGAACCATAAGCCAAATAAACTCTTCTTTCTGTAAATGGCCTTGGTCATGATGTGGGTATTTTGGGGTTTTTCTTTTGTTGTTGTTTTTGTCTTTTTGAAACAGGGTCTCCCTGTAGCTACAGCAGACCTAGAATTCACTATGTAGACCAGGGTGGCCTTAACCTCATAGTGATCCACCTGCCTCCACCACCGAGTGCTGGAATTAAAGGTATATGCCACCAAGACCATGGTGTTTTATCACAACAACAGAAAAGTAACTAATGCAGAGGAAACATAGTCTTCTGAGACAACAGCATATCTCAGACAACAGGATGTGCAGACTCTAACAAGACAAGGCTGGTGGCAACTTCCAGAGTCCCCCCTCATCCTCAGACCCCTACCTGCTTGAGAACCACAGGGAAGAGGATAGCCAGACAGGCCCTCTGACTATAGATCTCATGACAGTGTAAACACAGTGACCTGAAGCTCTGAGGTGCTGTATAGATTTAAGGTGCTGAAACTTGCAGTTGCTCTCATTGCTGATGTGGTTTTAAAAAGACCAAGAATACCCACCAAGAGACCATGCCCTTGCCTGTTCTCCCCCAATGCAGGGACCACGTTCCTGCCACAGCAAACCCTCTGCCCATGGTGACCACTCTCTACAGCTTACTCCATGATAGGCAGGTCATCGTCTTGCACAAAATCACAACTGTACCTTTATGTAAATCTAAGTCTCCATCCCCCAACATATACACAGCCCCTCTCCACAGGCCCTTCCTCCCTAGAGGCACCTCTAAGTATGTTGCTTTGGGTAGAATCAGGCCCTCCAAACTCATACACTGACATTCTACCCTCAGCACCCCAGAAAGCAACCTTCTCTGGAATCAGGGTCATTGCTAGCAGAACTAGTTAAGACAAGATAGGATAGGCCCTAATACAATAGGACTGGTTTTGTCCCGATAAAAAAGGGACAAGGCTGAGGCAATACCTTAGTTGGCAAGCACAAGGACCTGAGTTCAATCTCCAGAGCCATTTGAAAGAGCCAGGCACCATGGCACATACTTCAAAATTCCAGAGCTGGGAAGGTAGACTCAGGGAGATCCCTAGCACTCATTGACCTGCCATTCTAGTCTAATTGGTGGGCTCCAGGACAGTGAGAGACCCTGTCTCAAAGGAAGTGTACAGTGTTCCTGAAGATGATACCTGAGGTTGTCATCAGGCCTACACACACACGCACACACGTATACACACACATTTAAAAAGGGGTGGGCATCTAACCACAGATACAGAAAGGCCTATATGATGTAAAGAGAAACAGGGAGAAGCAGGCTACCTACCAATCAAAGAGAAGGGCCTAGAAGTTTCTCTCTGGCAACCCACAGGAAGGAGCCTGTCTGCTGACACCTGATTTTGGACTTCTGGTATCCAGACAGTGAGACAATATGCTTCTATTGCTTAGGCTACTCATTTCCTGTTGGCTGTGTTTGTTTCTTCAGGAACTATGTAAAGGCAATGGCTGCTGGGTGGACTCTGTTGTGTGTATGTACTGGGCGGGGGCGGGGGCGGGCATCTTCAAGACTGACACACTGTGATCTTCTTGTTTTTGGAGACCTCAGAGCTTGTCTCCTCTGAAGAGTGACAAGGCAGGTAAACCTTGGGGAGATGCTTGGGGACCCACAGGTCCACAGAGACACCCAGTTTCTGGGTTTCCCATGCCATAGTCACCTTCCCCGACCCCCGGTCAGTACCACTCAACTTACCACCCAGTCCCTGCGAGTAATCATGGTCTCGATGATCTGATATTGGAAGTACATGGGGATGAGCAGCGGTGGACCAACTGTGGAGAGGGCAGAGGACCCTGTCTGAGGTAAAGGAGCCAGCCTGGTGCTGCCCACAGGACAGCTCCGTAGCCAGGGGCCTGGGAGCTGGGATGATGGTAACAGGGCCCACAGGGGTCTGCCCAGGGCTAGCTGCTGGCACCCTTCTTCCTTGGATAGGTATGCAGTCACTTTTTGGGTCTGAAAAGGGTGTGGCAGGAAATGGGATGGGTGGTTACACTGGAGTGAGGGTAGGGCGGGGGACTCGGGGCACCCGGACTCACTCAGGAAGAAGTACTCGTGCTGGTGGTTGTAAGGCAGATATTTCAGCTTCTTCTTGCCATACTGAGGAGAGAGGAGAGAAGAGAGTCATGAGCATCACCCTCCCAGCCTTCCCCAACCCACTTTGTGTGCCATCCTCCTCCCTGCTCAGAGGAGACTCATTCCTTCCCTGTCTCTGCATCTGGGTCCAACAAGGCTAGGAGGTGCCGATTTCCTCAGCCCTAGCTGCATATTACCAGAGTTGTTAGCATTTGAGCCTGGGTCCTGGCAGCCCTAACAAGCTAGGCTTGGCCACCGTTTCTCAATGGCCCAATTAAAGAAACGAATAATGATGACAGAGAGATTTATTCAATGTGGCCACACTGGGAAGAGGAACAAATAAAGAAGTTCAATGACTCCCACCCCTACCACCATCCATCTTTGGGATCCTGCGATGATGTTCAGGTTTAAAGAGCAAGAGGTGTGCAGTGCTAAACAGTCCTGGTCAAGGTGTGGTCCTGCCCCATCAGGGACGGCCCTGACCCATCATTGTCTCTAGTCTCTTCTGCAAGGTGGTCTGACAAGTTGTCAGAACTGTGTGAAATCTCTAGGAGTCAAGTTCCTCCTCTGGCTGGCACCAGGTTTCAGTCTTTTCCTTCTCTCAGCATGCAATTCCTATAGAAATTCTAATTTCTTGGGGTCCATTGTTTCAATAGTCTGAAGGCCAAACGGAGAGGACACAAGTATCTGTTTGGAATATCTTTTATTTTGCCAATGATGAGGCCAGAATCCTTGACCAGCCCCAAGGTTGGTGGCTGAAGCTCAGACTCAAAGATACTGTTCAAAGCCAAGAGAAGTAGCCTGCTGGACTGGTTTGCTTGGTTTTTGTTTGGGTTTTTTTTTTTAAACCTATTATTGTTTTGTTGTAGTGTTGAGATGGACCCCAGGGTCTCACTCATGTTAGGCAAGTGTTCTGCCACTGAGCTACTATGTTCCTAGACCTTGAACTTTATACGATGAAAAAAAAAAAAGTTTATTTAAGTCTGGGAACCTGCAGGGAGCACCTAGGGCCTGTTTCTACTCTTCTGGGACTGACAGACGCTCCTGGGTCTCCCCAGGGAACTCCCAGGAGACTGTTGCAGCCAAGAAAACCCAAGTAAGGACCAGAAATCCTTGATAATCAACATCCTGGAAGCATCTATTCTCTGGGGCCTCCTAGTAATTTCTAAAGGCTAATCACTCCTCTCCAGGTGGGTCTTGACACACAGGGAAGCCAGCAGAACAGAAGAGGTCATACACAGCAAGGTACCTGGGCCACTGGCTGGCTATCTGACCCAATCCCTAGGGACCAGCCCACCCAACACTGTCACTGGTCAAGGAGCACCTGTTCTTTTTGCTTGCAATGCTGCGGGGGACCTGTGCTTGGAGTCAACAGATCCAAGCTTGTCAGACGTTGCTTCTCACCAACACAAAGATCCAGTACAGGTCCCCAGTTCTCTAAGTATGTTTAGCATCCAACTCAGCAGCTGCTAAGCATTACCAATGGGAACTTGGGCATAAGCACAAGCTGCCCCAGGACATTGCCTTCACATACTTCCCTCCCCAGACCCAAAGGCTAAAGTCAGTCTCCTCAGATACTGTCCCTTCCTACTCACTGGAGTCAGGAGATCAAAATGAGTTACAGATGGAAGAAAACATGAATGTCCCCTAGATGACACTCCTGTCCTCCAGGTGAGAACAGAGAGAGAAAAGTGCTTGTCAAAGCCACAGAGAGATTCATGAGCTCCCACAAGGAGGAACTGAAAAGGAACAAAGTCCAGCCTGTCCCCAGAACATGTGCCTCGGTGCCAGCGGCCATGGACACACGCCTGCCAAAGCATGACCGGAAACAATCCTCTTGTTCTGTGCAGCCTCCTGTGCCTTGGCAAGGACTTTATGCATTCCCAGAAAGTATGTGGTGTCCACAGTCTGTCATTAGGGTCAGGTCCAAGGTTGGCCTTGGAGAGGTCAGAGCCAGGGAGGCTTCAGAGGGGCCTTTGATAATTTGCCAGTAGAAGGGAGGGATGTGAAGGGCTGGCACAGGAGGAGAGATATCCCCCAATGTTGCCAGTGTGGGGGCAGAGCAGCAGCCTGTGGAACACAGGACAGGCCCTGGGCCTTGATCTGACCTCCTCCTAGAAGCCAGGGAACTAGCCCTCAGGCCTAGCTTCTAAACACAGGCTTCCCAGCCCTGGCTGCCTCCATATACTAGTCACAGGTCATCAATTCCTCTCAGAGACTAAGCACCAAGGAGTGACCCCACATCAACAGTGGTCAGAGGGTCCCTCTAGAGGAACACAGGGGGACACCAAGGGAGACCATTTGAAGGTGTACATAACTATGTCCATTGGCTTATGGTAAGTGTCAGAGGATGATAGAGATTGCAGGGCTGCCTCCAGCTGTTCCCAGCCGATAAACTGTTGGCTCCCACATGTGACTTTTCCATGTCCTAGACTGACCTACAGAAGCCAACACAGCCCGGCTACCCTAGGCAGTGGAAGGTTTCAGGACCAGTCTCTGTTGATGGCTAGCCTTCGGGACATGGGCATTTGGAAACAATTCCCTATTTGTGAAAACTGTTTCACCTCCCTGGCCTTTGAATTCCTTGTTGCAAAGTAAAGGTACGGTGTGTATTTTACAGGAATTCTCTGCGAGCCCAATGTATAAAGCAGGTATAAAAGCACTACTAGCTGGGTATGGTGGTGCACGCCTGAAGTCCCAGCACTTGGGAGGCAGAGGCAGATGGATCTCTGTGAGTTTGAGGCCAGCCTGGTCTATATAACGTAGTGAGTACTAGGCCAGCTGGAGCTACAGGGAGACCCCGTCTCAAAAAAAACAAAAAAAAAAAAAAAAAAAAAAGCACTACAGGGGGATAGGGTGCCAGTTACAATCACACATACATGCAGGCAAAACACTTGTACACATAAAATAAAAATAAATAAATCTTTTTTTTTTTTTTAATTTAGGGGAAAAAAAGGGACTGGGCATGGTGATGCAAGCCTTTAGTCCCTGCACTCAGGAGGCAGAGGCAGGTAGATCTCTGTGAGTTCAAGGCTAGCCTTGTCTACCTAGTGAGTACCAGGCCAGCTGGGGCTACAGGGAGACCCTGTCTCAAAAAGACAAAAAATTAATAAGAAATAAAAACAAAAATTTAGACAAAAAAGGCTGTATTTGTTAAAGAGAAATCTCCTGCTCTGCACTGGGACAATAGGAAAGGCAGCCCAGGGCAAGACCCCACCTGTCAAAGGCTCTAACTTGTAAAAGTGCACAGGGCCAGTTGAAAGACTGATTTCTCCTTATTTTCAAGATTGCCTTTCTATGAAAATTGAATCAACTAAAAAGCTAGAAATTTGAAGAGGCCTCAGTGGACACTACTAGGACACAAGGACCCAGCCTTCAATTGCTTTCCAGAATACTAGAGAAGCTCTGAATACAAGGGCAAAATACACATTTAAAAAGGAGCATGCGTGAGGCATAGAAAACAAAGCAGAAAGCTTTGTCAAGAGGCTAAAAATGGGCAGAGTGGATGATGGCCACTGTGTGGAGACAGGCAAGTCAAGTGCACTCCACACTTAGAAAGAGTTACTCAGGACGGATGTGTGTGATGACCAGGTCACACAGTCAGTCCCCTGGGAGAAGACCAACAACCCAGAGCAGACACTGGTGTGTAGGAGAGCTTACTCTATTATTTGGGAAAGGTAATGGAGCCCCTTAAGGGCTGAGAACACTGATTGACTCTGGAGAAATGTCAAAGCAGAAAATTTCACATTCAAATCCTACAGAGTAAAAGCTAAAATTGGGGGGACTGTGAGATAGCTCATTGCGTAAAGAAGCTTGCTGCGAAGCCTCACAACCTGAGGATAATCCCTAGAACCTACAGAGTAGAAGAAAAGAATGTCCTCTAATTGCCCTTCTCACCTACATCAGAGTGCAGTGATGTGAATGTGTGTGTGTGTATGTGTGCACGTACACACACACACATACACATACACACAGAGAGAGAGATAAATAAATGTAAAAATAATTTAAAGTTAAAAGTTGAAATGTGAAGCCAAAAAACTGAAAATACCAGATGTGAATAACTTCCTAAAATAGAAAACAATGAAAATAATGTCTGGAAGAGAAAGCACAGGCATCTTACCACAAGAAACAAACCGAAAACATCCTCCTGGAAGTCATAAACAAGACGGAAAGGGAGAGGGCTATTAGTGACATTTCTATGAACTGGATGCCCTTGGGGCCCCTTGGCTGGTCTGTATTGGTCATCCATGCCCCAAGGTAAGGGTCTTGACAGGCACCCAACTCTGGAGCCTGGGATGGAGGCTCAAGCCCCTGAGACATGGTCAAGTTGGAGCCCTGCTGCAGTGTTTAGGACTTGCTGCCATTTCAGTCAAGAGACCAGAGCTCCTTCCAGAGCAGCTCTGTCCTGTGAGCACTAGTGCACAGTTCGACCAGGAACCTGGGAAACATGGGTGTTTTTGTTAACACCTGAGGGAGGGTTTCTACAAACACAGTGGTGCTGGCCTCCATTTTCAAATGCCACTAGCAAGGAAATCCTCACACCCTCCCACCCCAAGGCCAGCATTCAAGAAGTGAGGTGTCTGGGCAAAATTTATCAGCCACCGCACAGATGAAAAAGCCTTCTAGTCTGCAAAGCTGGTGAGCCTGGCTTTCATGTATTTGTTAGGGACTCAGAGGACATCTGTGAGACAGCCAATAGCTCTACTACTGACATTAAGGAAGGCTTGGTCCTCACTATCAGAAGACTCCAAGGTAATCAGCTATGCTATCCAAACACTTGTAACCAAAGCTAACAAGCCATTTCCCAGAAGAGAAACAAAGCAACTGGTAGGCTGAAAAAAAAATTCCTGGCCAACTAGCCAGAGTTCAGAACTGTGGCGTATGTCCTATGAATGGGCTATGTCCCCAAACCCTGCCTCTGCTCAGACACTCTCGATGGAGAAAGAGTTACAAATCAGATTTGGGGGGGGGGCCCTCCCCTGTGGGCAAATTTGCCTTATTCAGCAACTGCCAATTGAGAGTTCCATTCTGGCCAGCATTGCGATTTTCCACCTTGGTGCTTTGACTGAACCCAGGGCCTTGAGCATGCTAGGCAAGAGTTCTACCACTAAGCTACACACACAGCCTGACTGCAGTTTTAAAATCTGTTAACTTGGTGTCCATCATCAGTGTATTTCCAAAACATCGTGTGTATGTTGTCTTCTCTTTTTTTGTAAATTAAACTCTGATAGAGGCTCTACTTAAAAAAAAAAAAAAAAGTGTTGAAGACCTTTTTTCTTACTATATAGCCCAGGCTGGCCTTGAACTCACAGCAATCTTTCTGCCTCAGTCTCTTAATGTCTGAGATTACAGGTATGCATTGCCATGCCTTGACTGAGGGCATTCTTTAAATGCATTGAGAGTGCCTTGTTTTGTTTATTTATTTTTATTAATATTCTTATATGTGGAGGTCAGAGAACAACTTGCAGTGGTCAGTTTCCTCCTTCCACCTTATGGGTCCTAGGGATCAAACTCAGGTCATCAGGCTTGACACTAAGCACCTTAACCCACTGAGCCATCTCATTGCCCCTTTATTTTCAAAGAGGCTTTATTATATAGACCAGGTAAAGTTCAAACTCAAAATCTCCTGCCTCTACTTCCTGAGTGCTGAGATTATTACCATGCATGACTGGGAATGCTTTTATTAAAAGAAGTTTAAGTGGCTGGGGGTATATAGAATTATAGGAGAAAGTTAAAGGGCTCAATGGTAGAGGGTGTGCTTAAGACAGAGGGAAATTAAGATTAGTGGACAAAATTTCCCTGTTTTATGAAATAGTGTGTATCAGTCTATAATATAGAAATTTAATGGTGTACCATCTCACAGAAATCTACCTGCCTCTGCCTCCCAAGTGTGCACTACCATGCCCAGCTAAAAAACATGTTTTGGGGTATTTTTGTTTTTGTTTTTGAGACAGGGTCTCCCTATAGCTCCAGCTGGCCTGGAACTCGCTATGTAGACTAGAATGGCCTTGAACTCACAGAGATCCGCGTGCTTCTGCTTCCCAAGTGCTGGGACTAAATACGTGCATCACCATGCCCAGCTGAAAAATTTACTTACTTTTTTTTTTGTATGAGTGTTTTGTCTGCATGTATCTAAGTACATCCATGTGGGCAATGTCCAAAGAGGCCAGAAGAGGGTGTCAGATCCTCTGGAACTGCAGTCACAAATAGTTGTTAGCAGCCCATCTCCCTAGCCCCAAGAATACTTGCTCTTCAGAGGACTTGGGTTCAGGTCCCAGCACGCACATCAGGTGGCTCACAATCACCTGAAGCTCCAATTCCAGAGGATCCAATGCCCTCTTCTGGCCTCCATGGGCATCTGCATGCACGTGGTACACAAACATTCACTCAGACACACACATCCACATAAAATAAATAAGTCCAGGCATGGTGGCACATGCCTTTAATCCCAGCACTTGGGAGGCAGAGGCAGGCAGATCTCTGTGGGTTCAAGGCTAGCCTGATCTATATAGTGAGTTCTAGGCCAGGTGGGGCTACAGGGAGACCCTGTCTCAAAAAGACCAAAAAAAAAAAAATTAATAAATTTGAAAAATAAATAAATAAACCTTTATTTGAAACAAAAAGGAATAAGGGGCTGGAGAGATGGTTCAGAGGTTAAGAGCATCGGCTGCTCTTCCAGGGGACCTGGGTTTGGTTCCCAGCACCTACGTGGTAGTTCATAACCATCCATAACTCCAATTCCAGGGGACCTGATGCGCTCTTCTGGCCTCTGAAGGCACTGCACAACATGGGTGCAGTTGCATACATGCAAGGAAAACACTCATATACATAAAGTAAAAATAAATTTTAAAAGAGTCCACAGTCCAAAAGGATGAGACCAGTCTACTTGGACTGCTGAAACAAGGTCTACATTTGGGGAAGTAGCAAACTACTGAATAGAAGGCATACTTTATTTCTAGTTTTGTTTTAAAGAACAAGATATATGCATGTTCATATACACATAAGAAATATTGGAGGCTGGAGACATGGCTCAGTGGAGCACCTCCAAAAAAAAAAACAGAAGATAGCTGGCATGTTGCTAAGAGTAATTACCCTTGTGTGCTAGATAGCTTTGCTTGTCAACTTGACACATAGGGGTAGAGGGAGCCTCAGTTGGGAAACTGGCTCCATTGGACTGGCCTGTGGCCATGTTTGTGGGATATTTTCTTGATTGTTGAGTGATGTGGGTGGTACCACCCCTGGGCAGGTGGTTCTGTATTATATAAGAAAGCAGGTTGAGCAGGGGCCAGGGGAACAAGCCAGTAGGCTGTGTTCCTCCATGACCTGTGCTCCAGCTCCTGCCTCGAGGTTCCCGAGTTCCTACCTTGGGCTCTCTGATGAACTGTGACCCAAGAGATGTAAGCCAAATAAACCCTTTCCTCTCCAAGATGGTATTGGTCAGAGTGTTTTGTTACAGCAAACTAGAATACCTTGGGTTCATAGGCCCTAATGCCAAGGAGGTGACAGGAAAAGAGACACTCACTTCTGAATTTTGTACATTTCTATACTGTTTTAGTGTTTATACCAAATATATCCTGCATTTATAATAAAAAGTTAATGATAGAAAAATAAGAGAAGTGTAAGTAAGTAGACAGAAATGGCTTAGCAGCCAAAGATCTGAAGCCTGTCCTAGACTGACCTATCGATGATGGGACCCTCCTGCCCCTTCCTGTCCTCACACTGAGCCTTGTTTTTTTCTTCTACTGGGTGGACAGCCCATGCTGAGGTTCCTGCCACTGCTGGTGACCACGACTCTACAAAGTTTCCTTAATGTGAACTGGCCCATTGTGGGCTGCCCTGGAGGCCTAGAATCTTATCTTCCAACAAAACTCAAAGCAGTTTGCTGTGGGAGGGAAGAGCGCATCAAATGCGCAGATGCGGAACTGTGTCGGGGACTCACAAGGAAAGCCACTCTAAGTAAACTACAGCTGGGATCATCTGTGGAGACTAGGAAAGGTTTCTTGGTTGCTGATGTCTTGGTTAAATGTTGACCCTATAGGACTCCTTCCCTCTCCCATGATACCTCCTACATCAACATCATCCCCTCACTCATACCTCCAGAGCCTGCCACTTCCCGAGGACAAACACATGTAGACTCTTCACGTCAGGATCCTTGTGGAAGATGTTGGGCTTGGCATGATGCTGGAAGTGACGATGGTTCCACCAGTTGGCAGAGGCACCCTGTTAGGGGAGAGGGGTTGGGTGAACCATGCAGCCCATAGGGATCTGAGCTTGCCTGTGGTAGTCCCTGCTTCAGACCAGGTCCTGGCACCTATGACACTCGTGGCAGGCTTCTCCATCACATATGAGGGCCACGCACAGAGTTCCTGGAAATCAGACTATAACTCTGTCACTTCTGAGCTGAGTGTGCTGGTCAGCCCTGAATGGAGTCAAGTCACTTCTCCAGCATCGTTTCCCCTATCAAGAGACAAGGATGGTGGATAAGATGTGCTTGTGTTGGCCCACAGGGTGAGCCTTTCAGTAGCTGTGGGGATGGTCTCTGCCCCTCCACTAACCCCAGGTAGAACCTTCCACACCTTCTCATCCACTGTATGTCTTGTGGGTGCCAGTGTTGAGCAAGGCCTTCAGAGACAGTGGAAAGACCCCTCTACCAGGGAACCACCAGTTTCTCTCCTGACTAGATAGGCAAGAGACATGAAGAGTCTTATATACACACAGAAATTATATACAAATGTTCAAAACAACATTCTTGAAAATACCAGGTCAGAAATAGCTCAATGTCCATCAACCAAAGAATGTATAAATACAATGTGGTATCTGTAAAATGGAATGGTTTGCCTGGTGTTCACAGCAAGATCCAAGCCAGCCAGGGCTACATGGTGAGACCCTATCTCTAAATAAATAAATAAATAAATAAATAAATAAATAAGTAAATAAATAAATAGAAATGAACCACTAACGTGCTATGCATAAACCTGGAAACATCATGTAAAGTCAAAGTCAGTGAAAAAGAACCACATGACTCATGATCCCCGTGATGTGAAGCACACAGAGGAAGAAGGTGAGTGGCTGTCCAGGGATTGGAGTCAATGGCTAAGGGGTTGAGGACTTGTTTTGTGGGTGATGAAAATGCTCTAGAACTGCACCACACTGGCATAAACTGTGAGTATTCTACAGGAATGCTGCCCTATGTAGACACTTTAGGTGGGCAATGGCTTGGTACATGCATTATATCCTACAAAACCTTTCTTAGAAAAACTTCCCATGGATCAAAGACCTTCACGCAAGACCTGAAACTACTAGAGGAAAACATCAGGGAAGCACTGCAATATCTAGGCATAGTCAACCATCTGAGCAAGACTCCAGCAGCACAGGACACGGAGAAGGGGCAAAATCTGCCGGTATTCATCTGACAATCTCATCTGACAAGAGACAGTTACCAAAGAAACTTGTGGTCAAAACACGAAGTTCTTAACGTTCTTAGCCATGAAGGAAATGCAAAGCATAACTACCAGACGCCCTTCACCCCAATCAGAGCGGCTATCATCAAGAAAACAACAACAGGGACTGGAGAGATGGCTCAGTCATTAAGAGTACTGGCTGTTCTTGCAGAGGACCCAGGTTTGAGTTCCAGCACCCACATGGTGGCTCACAACCAACGGTAACTCCAGTTCCAGGGGACTATGATGCCCTCTTCTGACCTCCATGGGCATTGCAAGACATGAGTGTACTTATATATATGCAGGCAAAACACTCATACACAAAAATATAAATAATAATTAAAATGTTTTTTTAAAAAGAAAATGCAACAGCAAATGCTAGTAAGCATCTGGGGAAGGGAACCCTTATTCATTGCTGGTGGGAATGTACATCAGTCCAACCACTATGGAAATCAGTACAGACGTTCCTCAAAAAACTAAAAATAGAACTACCACGCAATCCAGCTATACCACTTGTGGGATATATGCCAGAAGGCCTCTAAGTCAGCACACAATAGAGATGGGTAAATACCCATATTCACTGTGGCACTACTAACTGCCAATACCCTGGGCATGATGGCTCACAACTGCAGTCCCAGCAATCAGGAGGTGGAGGCAGGAGGATCAGGAGTTCAAGGTCAGCTTTGCCTATGTAGCAAGCTGGAGGCTAGCCTGGGCTATATGTTACACTGACATAAATAATGAAGCAAACAGACAGACAGACATGTTACAGCATCTAGGTGCCCTTCAATGGATGAATGGATAAAGAAAATGTGATATATCTACAAACAGAGTGTGATTCCATCATGAAGAATGAAACTGTATCATTTTGAGGAAAGGGGATAGACTGGAAATCATCATATTAACTGAAATAAGCCAGATTTAGAAATACAAATACATGGCTCTTTCTTCCTCTCATACATGGGCTCTAGATTTAAAAATAAAGACGTGAAAGCAGAAGTCGGGGCATTTGGGAGGGAGTAGAACTAGCGGGAGGGAGAAGGGCAACAAGAGAGGGCGATGGAGGCAGCTATGATTGAAGTACCTTCTAGACGTGCAAAAATGTCACAATGAAATCCATTGTTTTACACAAATCACATATGCTGAAAAAATTAATATAGGTAAAAAAAAAGAGTGAGACAGACAACTGATTGTGAAAAAAACAAAATAAACCACTTTTCCGGGGACAGAATACAGCTCAGCTGACAGCTTGCCCAGCATGAGCCCCTTCTGAACAGCACTGACCAGTGGCCAGGGAGCAGGCAGCCTTAGATGACCCCATGGCCCCAAAGGCAAGGACCATAACAAGCGTATTTGTTATTTGAAGGCCACGGGCTGCTTGGTCACCGGCTCTATTTGTTATTTGAAGGTCACAGGCTCCTGGGTCATCAGTTCTAGTTCTTTTTTTAAAAAAATTATTTATTTATTTTATGTGTATGAGCGTATTGTCTGCGTGTATGTGACTGCACCCGTGTTGTGCAATGCCACAGAGGTCAGAAGAGGGCTTCGGATTCCCCTGAAACTGGAGTTATGTAGGGTTCGTAGCCGCCATGTGGGTGCTGGGAATTGAACCCGGGTCCCCTGTAAGAGCAGTCAGTGCTCTTAACCACTGAGCCATCTCTCCAGTCCCATCAGTTCTAGTTCTTAGTCTCCTTCAGAGGCATGTCCCTCAACAAAGTTACCAGGTAACCCATGCAAGCAAGACACAGGTGTTTTCTGGAGCAGGTGACACAGTGATCCTTGGCCCACTCCAAGCTTTAGCTGAGGGTCTGACCATCTGCAAAGAGGTCTATTTGCTAAAAACAAACTTTTCACTTGGGAATTGTTTTGGGCACAAACAAAGCTTCCGGGTGGAGGCAGTCGGGAACAGCTGTGGCCTTTGCTGTGACCTCAGGCCCCTGTAGACAAGGCAGCCGCAAAACCCATCACAGCAAGAAGCAGTGTGTCAGAGAAGCAAATGTCACATTCACATTTGAAGTCTGAGGAAACAAAGTTACCAGGAAAAGCATCGAATGGCACAAGGAGAGCGGGAAATGAGAAGTAAGCTAGGTGACAACCCAACAACCTAGATGGTTGACAAGGTGGGACTGTCACCCCTCTCTCTGGACTTTGGATCAGATATCAAATGGGGGCAAAGTGTAAGGATTGTTTCTGAAACCAAAGAAAAGATTTTTGGTGGTTTTTCTGTTGGATTTGTTTCGTTTTCTCTTTTGACATGGAGGAGTTTAGCTTTGTGGCCCAGGCTAACTTCATACTGCCTTGTTTTCCCAAAGCTAGAACTGGGTCAAGGTATGCCCATCAACACCAGGTAAGAAATGTAGCCAGCAGTGCTGGGTAGTTATTTCATAGCCTGAGATAAAAGAAAAGTATACATCCCAGCAAAAGCATATAACATACTTTCAAAATCTCTTTGGGGCTCATATTGTTTTCAATTGATATATGTGTCAAGTTTGACAGTTTCTGTCAACCAAATGACACACTTAAATAATTTTGAATCACTTTATTTTACATTGATGTAAAAGTATAATAAAAGGCCTGGAACTGGAGATCTGTAATAGAGCACTTACACAGCATGTGCAAGGTCCTGGGTTCGATCCCCAGAATCACACAATTGTTTCTAATGAAGTGGAGGCAAAATAAACTTTTTTTGACATAATAAAATATATTTAAAATAATGCTGGAACTTTTAACATGTAGACTTCTCAATTTTTTGTTTTGTTTTCAGACAGATTCTCCCTGTAGCCCCAGCTGGCCTGAAATTCACTAGGTAGACCAAGTTGGCTTTAGTTTCACAGAGCTCCACCTGCCTCTGCCTCCCAAGTGCTAGGATTAAAGACCTGCACCACCATGCCCAGTAGACTTTCCATTTTCACAACTTCTTTAGTGTTCTAGAATCAAAGGATTGATCACTTTTAAAAAATGACATATCAATACACGTATAGGAGTGCGTGCTTGTTTTGAGACAGGCTGCCATTTAGCCCAGGCTGGCCTCTATTTTCTATATAAGACTGAGAACTTCTGATCCTCCTGCCTCCACCTCCTGAGTGCTGGGATCACAAGTGTACATCAATCACCACATGTAATGCCAGGGGTTGAACCCAGGCCTTTGAGCATGCTCAGCAATCACTCTACCAACTGAACTATATCCACAGCCCCCACAGTTTCAATTTTATAAGCAAATGCTTGACAGGGGTGCCACTCCTCTGTGCTGCCCTTGTCTGATGCAAGAGCTGTGCTCTAAGCTATCCTCAAGGACACAAGGCTATGGGGCAGGAAAGGCCCTCCAGACCCTGCTGAGACTCTAGAAACAGGACACAGCCCATCTTTGTTAAAGGCATGGGGAGGGCAGAGATAGTGGGTAAAATGCTACTTTCCAACACTGAGGACAGTTTTATGCCACTAAAGATACTGTAAGACAAAACAATGCATTTAGCTGTGGATACCCTCTCCCTCCACCCCTGAGGTTCTGGAAAGAGTCTGGGTTCTCAGCCCTTTTAGGCTCAGGGCCAGGCAAACTGCTAGCTGGAAACTGCTGACCAGATTGTTGCCAGCTCACCCACAATTCAGTGTACAGCTGGCAAGCCAAGGGCACAGCTGGGTCATGGCCACAAAGGGGAGATGCCTAACCTGAACACAGGGCTCTTCCTCAACAAAAGACAGGAAGCTGGAAGTCTTGAGGACCCAGCTTCTCTTAGGATACTATTGGGATGAGCTGACTCTGAGAGACAGTGGGGTCTATTTGAGAGAAAACTGGTGTTATGGTTTGAGTATGACACATCATTCATAAGCTCAAGTGTGAGTTCTCAGTTCTTACCTGATGGTGCTATTTTAGGAGAAGGTAAAAACTTCAGGAAGTTAGGAAAAAAAAAATAGGTCACTGTCTGGAAGAAGTAGGTTCCTGGGGAGCACAGAACCTCTGAAGGTTCTCTCTGGTCCCTGGTCCCTTCCTCTCTCTTGGTCTCCTTCCTGTTTGCCACGTGAGTAGCCTCTGCCACATGCCCACACCACCATGATGTTCTGCTTTACCATGGGCCCAGAATCAACAGGACCAAGGACAGTGAACTGACAGCTCTGAAACTGAGCCAGAATAAATCCTTCTCTCTTGAGTTGTTTATGTCAGGTACTCTGTCACAGTGATGAAAAGTCTGACTAATACAGTTGGCAAGAAACGCTTTTCCACATGGAGATGACCCCTATCAGGTTACACAAGGTCACTACTGACAAGCGGCTTGGCTTTACAGACTTGTGCCGCTATAACGCTTCTCTGTGTGTGTCATGGCTTCATCTTTAGGGCAACAGAGCAGAACCCCCTCACTTTTGCCCTTTTAAGCGACTTCCGTCCTTAGATGTAGTTAAACATTATATAGTTTGATGTTCCTTATCTGAGGACTTATCTGTAATGACAGTAGAGATGGTCCCCAATTTACAAAAGCTTTTGATCCTGTAGCAGCAAGCCAAAGGACATTAAACAACCAACACCTTACAATGTCTTGTGTTACTAAGCTGCAGTGTTCCATGGTCTAAGTGAATTACTTGTGTTTTCAACTTTGGATATTTTCAATTTACCGTGAGTTAATCTAATCAGATGGTCACCAGACTGCTAATATACTTTTTTACTTTTCTTCCTTTTTTTTAATTTAATTTTTTGGAGGGAGTCTTTTTGAAACAGGGTCTCCCTGTGGTCCCAGCTGGCCTGGAACTCACTATGTAGACCAGGCTGGGCTTGAACTCACAGAGATCTGCCTGCCTCTGCCTCCCAAGTGCTGGGATCAAAGGAGTGTACCACCATACCCGGCCTTCCCTGTTTTTGTCAAAGGGTGCATATGCATGATTGCATGTGCCAGTTCATGGGGGGTAGGTAGATATAAGTATGTGCATATGCATGTGAAGTGTGGAGGCTGGAACTATAACCTTGGGTGGCATCCTCAGGACTGCTGCCTGCCTCCTTTGAGACATGGTCTCTCACTGGCCTGGATCTATCAAGTAGACTAGACTACCTGGACAGTGAGCCCCAGGGATCCTCCTGTCTCCACCTCCCTGGTGCTCAGATGACAACCACGGGCACCACACCCAGAACTTTTACATGGGTTCTGGGTATCGAACTCATGTCTTTGAAAGTGCTTTACTGACTGACCCAAGCCCACAGCTCCAATACTTACCTTTAAGTGGCCAATGACAAACTTGTGGACGACATGGTTCCAGTTGGACTTCTTGTAGACAGAAAGATGGCCATAATCATGTTGCAGCCATCCAGCTTGGACCTGGGGAGACAGGGCCGCAGACATCATTACAGAGTTAGCAAACAGCCACCAGGCCTACATGGGGTGGGACTGTTCAATGACAGCCAAGGGTTTCGGGCCTCACCTGGGAGGTAGCAAGGACAAAGGCCGTGATGAGGGTGGGAATCCAACCATTGCCAAAGTAGTAGAGGATGAACCAGGAGATGCTCTCCATGACGATAATGTGGGCCAGGAGGAAGAAGAAGAACAGGTGGTTGGTTTTGAATAGGTTCATGTTCTCAGCTGTCTTCTTCAGGGCCCTGAAGTCCTCGGTGATCTGAGACTGTTGAGCAAGAAGAGCACAGAAGGGAGTTGGCCACAGGACTCTGAAGGCAGCTGAATCTCAGGCACAGTACTCTCCACAGCTGCAAGTGCCTTGAACCCTGTATGAGCCCAGCTGCCGTGCACCACAATAGCCACCATTACCACAGACTTGTTGCACGCTTGGCACAACCCTGGGGATGGCTGCCCACAGCTGGGTAAGTGGCAGGACAGCTGGGCTCAAACGCTTGCATTTTTAATCATACTAAGCAAATAGTGTCAGTCTCAAAAAGACAAAGATCACATATTTTCTCTTGTTTGTGGGTCCAGTACTTCACAGACACATAACATCATGTATGTATGTTTGGGAAATGAAAGGGACTAATGGGAGGTAAGTGGGGGGTGGCAGGATATGGGGAAATATGCTCAAAGTTACTTGCATATGTGTATGAAGATGGCTTTGTGTAACCCTAGACAATAATAATAATAGTAGTAATAATAAGCAGTTAGCGTCTTGTATACCAATATAATAAGCAAAAAGTAAAAGTGACCCATATATCCACTGATAGATGAAAGACAAAATTCCAGGCATGTCTAACCTTGCATTGTGACACAATGCTGTCATCTACAAAGTTCATACTCAAGAACTTTTTGTGACTTGTTACACACACACACACACACACACACCTCAGAGTGTTTTAATAGCCTTATGACTGTGTTAGGCTGCAGGTTGGGAAATATCCAGCCTTAAAAATGAAGGAAAATTTGACACATGCTACAACATGGATGACCCTTATGCTAAATGAAATAGATCAGTTACAAAAGGACAGATATTTGTATGACAGTATCAATGAAATCCACTATTCTGTATAATTAATTTATACTGGTTACCAGATGTAGTGCATGCCTGTAATCCCAGTACGCAGGTAGAAGCAGAAGGAAGATGAGTTTAAAGTCATTCTCAGCTACAAAGGGAGTTCAAGGCTAGTGTGGGCTACATGAGACACTATATTAGAACACCATAGAAAACAAAACCAACAAATATACACAGTAATAAAGGATTTTAAAGGACAAATACAGTATGATTCCATCTATGAGATGCCTGGTGAAGTCAATGCAGAAGCTACAGAATGGGGTCTAACAAGGCTGAGGGAGGAATGAAGACCTGGTGTCACAGGCACAAAGGTCAGTAAAGAGGATGTAAAAGCTCTGCAGTTGGTGTGAGAGGGGAACTGGTTGCACAATGCTGTGAATGTACTGAGTGCCACTGAACCAACTTTACCCTTAAGAAAAGACAGCTTCCATTTTTTTACTACCTGCCACTGTGCCCTTCTACGAGGTACAGGTGGGAGTTTCAGCTCGTGACACTGAAGATGCCAGAGAGGCTTGGGTGAGTGCTGGTCATGGAGGCCAGGGAGACAGAGTCCCCAGTGGAAGACCAGCCAAGAATCCAGACCCAAAAAGACTCTGTGCCCTGCCTGGCTTGGCTAAGGCTCAGAGGTGAAAGCTGGTAATAAACTACTCCAGCTCAAGCTGGGAGCAGAAGGTAGGGCTAGCCCGGACCAGGTCTGGTTTCCCACTGGTTCTATACCCTAGACAGCAGTTAGAGGTACCCTGGCCTGCCTGCTAGCACCAAGGCCACACACAGTGTGTCTGGTGATAAGGAGGAAACTGCCTCAGTCATGAGATCATGTGGTATGTCTCTGAGGACACTAACTGTCCCACCCTATAAGAGGCAAGACCAACATGCTTGGGACACAAAGATTGATACCCTCAGCTCTACTTAGAACCAGGCTCCCTGGGAAGGGTGACTCCAGCAGGGGAAGGCTAGGGTTGAGGGGAGGAAGACAGACTCTCAAGAGTTACAGAAACTCTTAAAGTACACTGTTCTACACAGCTCCATCATTCACACGGGGTCTGAGCACAGAGCTAGTGAGGCCTCAGGTGTTCCTTTCTCCATATTGCTGTCTTTGAAGCCCAGCACCCAGCTGGGTTTCCAACTCAAAGATGATTAACAAATGACTAAATGACTGTCACTCTTTCTCACAGTAACCACTCATTCCAGAGCAGTCACAGTTATAATCTGGTACTATTGCATCTCCTAGTTGATCATATACAAGACCAATATCTGGCAGCGTTCTGTAAAGAAGAGAAGGAGGAGGAAAAGACCATTTGGGACAGAAGGAATGTTACTAGCTATCACCAAGCCCCGACTCCCAGAGGAGGCTCTGAAGTCCTTTTGATCCTAGGTGCTCAGGGGATCTCTTCCTGGACTGGCCCAAAGGCTCTCCTGCCACAACCCTGGCAGTGGGGTCCTGTGGTGAAAGGACCTTCATGGCCCCCCATCCAGCCTCATCCCAGCCTCATCAAGGTTACAAGTTTCACTCACGTTCTTGCCACGGTCTAGGCTGGGCTCCTCTGGGGCCAGTTCACCAATCAGCAGGGGCTTCAAGAACTTGCCCACGAAGTCAAGATCAAGGTGGAAGGCACGGAAGGCATCCTGGAAGCAGAAAGGCACGTAGTGAGACTGGACTCTGGCTCTCGGACTGCTCCTCCCATTGCAAGGAAGCCGGTGCTCAGCAGCAGCCAGAGTCTCCACCCAGACTCCAAGTGGGGCCTCCCATGATCTGGCCACAAATGTTCTTCTCTCCACTCAACCCCAAGGCAGATCCCTCAGTACAGGACTCCAACAGCAAGCAGTAACTGTGCTGGCACCAGGCCTGCTACGTGAGCCAAGGGTCTGTGGACAGATACATCTCCAGGGAAGTATACCAGGTAGGCACCGGACTCAGCAGTTCTCTGAGCGACAACTCGCTCCTAAGCTGGATGCCTTGTGCAGTGCACAGACTACACCAGCACTACTTCTAACAGCTCCTCATCCATAAGGATCAGTGAAGAGATAAAACTGGGCCTGGGGGCTTAAGCTCAGTGGCAACATGCTTGTCTAGCATGTTGGAGGCTCTGGGTTTGATACTTAGGACCTAGAAAATGACTACTGCATGGAAAATGTGCTCAGAGCACATTTAACAAAAATAAAATAAACATGGAGCCATATAGAAACATTCCTGACAGAGTCGGGGATCTAAACTATGAAAGACATGGAATCGTGCCTTGTTTTATTTTCATTAGTTTGTGAACTTTCTCTAACATTACTGTCATGGTCTGCATTTTAATGTTTAATTTTTTCCACCCAGAAAGTCCATCACTGCCAATACTGTAGCATTTTTCTGCCAGTTTCTTCTATACACAGCATATTACAAAACTTGTCTCATAATCAATCTCCACTGGAGGTGAGCTGGCACCAGGTGCCCCATGGTGGAATGAGATATCCCAGCTAGCTACACAATGTTTACCTTGCCTCTAACCATTCATTCATATTGTGACATGAGAAATAATCAGGAAAATCAGTGTATTAGGAAGGAGGATGCAAGTGTGGGGAGAATGGTCTGGATGGAAAGAAACTAAAGAGATAGAAATCCCAACGCTTTCACTAGAAAGGCTCCTGTTTGGAGGGAAAAAACAGAATTATACAAGACTTCTGGGGCGACTGAATGAGAAATAAAAATAGCGATTCCATATTTGATTCAATGGAAGACTTATTAACTTTTCTGAGGCAGGGTGTCATGTAGCCCAGGCTGCCCTGGAGCTCCATATGTAGCTGAAGATGACCTTAAACTTTGGATCGTCCTGCCTCCACCTTGCAAGTGCTGGGGTTACAGGCGCGTGCCACTGTGCCTACTTTATGTGAGGGTGGGGAGTGAACCCAGGTAGAAACATGCTAAGAAAGTACTCCATCTACTGAGCTATACTCCCAGTCTGGAATTATTTTTGTAAATGTGACAAAGGTACTTGGATCATCAGAGGATTTTGTCCTTATTCTCAGAAAAGGATGCTGAAGAATTTAGGGATGTGTCACTTGATAGGGTGACCTTTTGTTGCTTTGCTTTTTGGTTATTGTTATTACATTTATTTATTTACTTATTTATTGGTGTGCGTGCATGTGTGTGCCCAATCAGCAGGTATGGAAGTCAGGGGACAAGCTTTGGCTATCTGCTCCTTCCACCATGTGAGTTCTGGGGATTGAGCTTGGATCATCAGGCCTGACAGCAAGTGCCTTTACCCACTGAGCAATTTGCCAGGCCAGTTTTGCATTTTTGAGATTCATGTATCATAGACTGACATCGAAGTTACCAACTCAATCCCTTACTCCTCCTGCCTCCACCTCCCGAGTGCTGGGATTACAGGTGTGTACCACCATACCTGGCTTTGATACAAGTGAGTTTCTAAAGGAAATTGTCTATGTGTAACGAGAAAGCAAATATGGCCAAATATTACAATGAGCTAATCTTGGTTCAGAACAGATAGAACTTCTTTGATCTTTTAGACTATACAACTGGAAAATTTCAAAAACAAAGAACAAAAAAAGGTGTGATAGAGGCCAGGTGTACTGGTGCACACCTGTAGGAGCACTCGGGAGGCAGAGGAAGGCGGATTTCTGTGAGTTCAAGGCCAGCCTGGTTTACACAGTAAGTTCCAGGCCAGCTGGGGCAAAAGGGAGACAATGTCTCGAAAAGACTGTACTGGATGGCTTTAGTGTCAACTTGACACACCTGGGTTGAGGGAGCCTCAACTGGGGAATTATCTCTATTGAACTGGCCTGTGGCCATGTCTGTGGGGCATCTTCTTGATTGTTGATGTGGGAGGGCCCAACCCACTGTGGGTGGTGCCACCCCTGGGCAGGTGGGCCTGTGTTGCATAAGAAAGCAGGCTGAGAGGGGCCAGGGAAGCAAGCTTTTGGGGAGGCCAGAGTATTTTGTCACAGCAATGAAGAAACAAACTAGGACAGACAGAAAAAAAAAAAGAAAAAACAACTAACCGAACAAACAAACATGTGATGGGTCAGTCATACCTTAGCACTTGAAGGCTAAGGCAAGAGGGTCAGGAATTCAAGGTCATGAATACCTACATAGTGAGTTTGAGACTAGTCTGGGCTACAGGAGGCCCTGTCTCAAAAATAAATAACAAAATACAATGTGGTGTAGAGAAAAATGCTGACAACTCATAAAAGTCGTATCCCCATATCAAAGCTTCTTAACCAGTAACTATCTGTCCTCTCTCTTCTCCTGGACATCCCTGTCATGAAGTATTTGTTTTGTGTCTCAAATGAACTTTCCAAGCAACATTTTATACAGGAGAATACTGGGCAAGGTTAAAAGAAAAAGCAACAAAAACAATAAACAAAAAGAAAACTCCCCTAGCTGAGCAGAAAGGGCTGTCATGGTTCTTTTCAGAGATGAGAAGTCTGTTGTTACAGGGGCCCAGGCAGACAGTGAGGGGGGCTGACTGGCTCTGCCTGCCCCAGCTCAGGCTAAAATGAGCAAGGCCCTGAGGACAAAAGAGCCAGCAAGATGCCAAAGTCAGGGCTCAGGCCTGGGTCCCCTCACTACAGACAGGAAGTTCTGGGTAAGACAGGTTCCTGAAAAACAGCTGCCTTGTCTGATAACTAAATGAGTTCCCTCCATGTTTTGTTGAAAGGAAAAGTTCAGTGGTCAGCAAGAGCCTTCATTCACCTCCACTCTTCCTGCCCGCCCCTACTACCCTCTCCGTCCAGGACATGCATCCAGCTTGTCCTGCCTGTCCCCACTACCCTCTTCATCCAGGACATGCTTCCACCTATGGGGACAAATGAGAACCCTGTCTTGACCTTGGATACTTCCCAGCCATTTCCACAGGATTCCGGGGTAGCTGAGCTCCCTGAGGCCAATGGAAGGGAACTACCACGTGCCAGGCAAGAAGCCAGGGGCTTTGTTTATGGTACCCCCCCTTCAGCCTCAAAGCCCTCGGGAAGTGAAGTACTGAGCTCCAGGGTGCAGTGCCAGGCTCCAATCCAGCTCATGTGGTCTCTGAGAACTCCTCTTTCCCTCACACCTCCTACCACATCAGAAAAATGGTGTTCCATGGATTGGCTTACTGTCCTAGCCAACCTTTCAAGTTCCTGTCCACACCTTGCTGGAATTGCATGGGACTCAGCTTCAATGTCACCTCCAAGAGGATTTTCCCAGTCACCCATCTCAAATAACCCTCTCCTAGTTTTGGGATTTCTCAGTTGTTTCCTCTTCATACCAGTGTCAAGATCACAAACTGGAAACGCCTGGGGAGATGGCTCAGTGGATAAAGCTTTTGTCTGTAGTTATGAGGCCCAGAGTTTTGTCCCCCAGCACCCACATAGAAGCCGAGCTGGTGCAGCAACCTGCCTGTAATCCCAGTAATCCTGAGGCTCCTCAAAGAAGGTTGGCTAGATTATCCAAATTACCAAGTTTCAGGTTCATGTCTCAGTAAATAAAGTGGATAGCAATTGAAGAAGACACCTGATATCAACTTCTGGCCTCCACATACATGTGAGCATACATATACACATACATCATATATAAGCAAAAGAAGTCACAAACTAGGGCTGAGGATATAGCTTGCCAAGTGTGCACAAAGCCCTGGGTTCAATCCCTAGCCCTGCATTAACCTGGCATGGTGGTACACACCTGTAATCCTAGCCCTCAGGAGGTACAGGCAGGAGGATTAAAAGTTTGAGGTTGTCCTCAGCTGCAGAGTGAGTTAGAGGCAAACCTACAATACATCTGTATTCCTGTGCAGACTCCATCCTTCTCTACCATTCTATACAACCCAGCTGATGCTTCTGCAACACAAGAACTCTTCACTGTCTTGGGCACCCATACCCTAGGGTTCTGCTGTCACAGGTGGACATTGCATAGGTTAACTACTAAGCCACGTGAGTGGCAGGTGTCAAAATCTACTACTACTTAGGCAATTCTGGGAGGTAGGTCCTATTTTGTTGTTGTTGGCTTTTATTTTTGCAGTGCTGGGAATGGAATCCAGGGCCTTGCACATACTAGGCAAGCTCAGTACCACTGAATTATATCCTAGCCTTTTAGGTCTTGCTTTAAGAGATGAGAAACAAGGCCTAGGTTGGATCCCAATTTGTCCATGGTCGCACTCCAGGAATTAGCTGGGCAGAGCTTGGTCTAGATGCATCGACTGCAGATTTTTCTGGCGTTAATACACAGACCTCCATCTAAACAAGTTTCCCTTCCTTGAGAATTGATCATTTTGGGTGTCTCCACTTCAAAGAGCTATAGATAAGCCTTGCAGAAGGCTCTCAACAGCTGTTTGGTTACAGGGACAGCAGGTTGCAGAGCAGGCCACTGTGTAAGGCAAGACAGGGCCAAGTCAAACGATGATTTTGGAACCAGAATTAGAAGCAGCCTCTTTCTTGTCTGACATGGAGAGAAGCCAAAGCCTTTCCAGGAAACAGTCCAAGACACTGGGAAAGAGAAAGCAGTGGCAAACAGGTGGAGGACCAGATCTGAACGGCCCCCCAGGAGGGTCTGGCTGCAGGAGGGAGGGTCAGAAGCCCAGATTCCTAAGCATGGCACTTGCTGTTTACCAGTGATTGCCCCTTCTGCCTCATCCAGCTACCATGGCAGCCAACTTCTCCAGGCACATCTTCTGAGGAACTCAGTTCCTATCCTCCACTAAGCACCTGGAACTAAAACCTGTTTCTGCCTGTGCCCAGGTCTTCCTGCAGAGCAAAGCTATATTAAGCTAGCTGTGCATATCTGGGCACTTGGCCCAGTACCTGAGACATTTAGGCTGAATGGACTGCAAGCAGTAATCCTGGATTCTTTGACAGTTGACTAAAGAGGGAGGAGTAGGAGGGATCCTGTAGCTCTAAGGTAGGGATTAAGAAGGGGGGGTCAGCATCAGGAACACTGATGTCTGACTTCCTTTCTGCAGCAGGTGAAGGCAAGGCAGGAAGTCCCTAGATCATGTCCCCTCCAAAGAGAAGAGGTTGTGGAGGCAGACAGTGCTCTGTGATCCATGAGTCCCCTTGGTAAGAGCATCTCTGCTAACTAACACAGGTTGTATGACTTCCCTGGCTACACAGGACATAGGTCCCCACAAAGGCAGACTGAACAGGAAAATATGATACTGTTTTTTTTTCCTTTTTTCATTTTTTGTGTGGTGTGCAATGTGTATGCATGTCTTTGTATGTGTAGGGGTATACATGTGTGTGTGCACATGCATGTGGAGGCCCACGGTCGATGCTGAGAGTCATCCTCAATTGCTCTCCCACTGTATTCATTGAGGCAAGGTTTCTCAGTCAAATCCAGGGCTTGCTGATATGGCGGGGCTTGGTAGCCAGTTTGCTCTGGGGATCTCCTATCTCTGCCTTCCAAGGCTGGAATTATAAGTAGGCTGCCATGCCCATCTCGTCTTTACATGAGTTTTAGGATCTGAACTCTAGTCCCCAAGGTTGGGCAAGTGCTTTAAACCATAGAGCCATCTCCTCAGCCTGATGCAGTTTTCATCTTATTATAGCCACTACCAGGGGACACTAGGGCTGGATGTGGGTTCCTCCTCCTACCAAGCTGCAGGGGGTAGGTGCAGCTCCAACCCAGGCTGTCTCTCCTCAATACTCTAACACTCCTGGCCTGCCTACAGGGGGACAATTCCACTTTCAACTGCTGCCTCTTTACAAGGACAGTATAGAAGACAGTAAAAAGATGGAACATTTCTACCTGCCTCTGGCCCTCTTTGCCTTCCCTGAGTCTATGAGGTAAACAAGGCAAATGGGGGATGAAAAGTGCAAGTCAGGGTAGTCTGGGGGGAGGACAAGTATCTAGAAGTAGAGGATCCAGGTTCAAGCCCCAGTTTGAGAAAGAGAAAAAGGGGAGGGACACAAATATAGTAGATTCAGGCTACTATCTGAATTATTCATCTTTGTGCTGAGGCTTTGCTTAGAGTCCAGCTCAGAGCCATAGAAACACCCAATGAATGTTTGATGAAATCTTGCTGATGATGAAAAGTCCCAAGTAGAGTACATTCTGTACCAACAGGACTCCCAGGAAAAGTGCAGACAAGGGCTTAGGAGAACCAGTGATGGTTTTTTGTGCCTACAGCAAACCAGAGACAGGAGAAGCTCTGAGGGACCAGTAGAAAATGACCAAAGAGGTAGAAATAAGAAAGGGGGGACAGAAGAAGGTGAGGCTGGAGGATGTGGAGTCAGCAGATCCTGACAAGGGCTGAGCACTGTCTGAGCAAGCTTTATGAGCCTTAGAACAGGACAGTGACAGGGCTGATCTGAGAATTAAATTACATTATTTTCACATATTTATTTATGATTAGAGACAGAATCTCACTATGTTACCCAGGCTGACAAATTTCTGAGCTCAAGTGATCCTCTTGCCTTAGCCTTCTGAATAGCCGAGACTCTGGACATACCTCACTGTGCTCCATTAAATGACTTTTATTATTACAAGTAAGGCCAAGGTCTAATGTCTACAGAAGGACCAAGTGACAACTGCCCATCCTTCCGGGCATGAAAATGAGCCCTAATTTTTGAGGTCTTTTCTTCAGAAACAGAAAATCTCCTACTGATCCCTAGACTACCCTCAAAATGGCTTCCTTGCCTCCTAGCCTCACCTTCTAGCCCCTTGTTGGGCTACCACAGACATTTTTTGAGCAGCTAGCTCAAAGCAATATATGAAAGTGCTCTGGGGATCCTGCCTCTCTTGCTGATCAGCCCCTCCCTTGCAGCCCATACATCCTCCATCATTCCCCTCAAGCCCTCAAAGAGAAGTCAGTGTCCTCAAGGGACAAACTCGCTTGCCCTATAGCCTAGAGAGCCAATTCTCTTTCTCTCCATAACTTCCCTTCCCAGATTCTCCACAAAGAGAACCTCACTGCTCATGCCACTGTTCTCTGTATTCCCAGTGAGTCTATTTCATGCCCCCAAAAATCTTATTTGGGAAGACAATAAGCTTTGGTGGTACAAGATCAAATGAGCTAGCTTAGATTTGCTTCATTTTCTTCTACATTTCTCTTTGCAAACTTTACATTATAGCTGTTTTGTAATGCCCAGTTTGGTCGTTTATTTCATGACCTTCCCCTGTGTCTATCTGGTGCTCACTGTTGAGGACCAGCTTTACCATACATGTCTCATTGGACTAGATGAAGGTGTAGCTTCCTTATGACACCATGCATAGGACAAGTCCATTGATCACATCTTCATTCTTCAATTCCAGGCTATTTGCAGCCCACACTGACTTTTGCAGCCGCCTTATTTTTCCTATCATGGGGCAACTAACATCCCAGACACCAGACACGCAATCCATAAAAGTTAACCAGAAAGCTCTGAGGCAAGGTCAGCAATAAAGAGAGTGGTTTGGCTTTTAACCTTCAAAATTGGGCCATCCAGGTGTCTGACAGGTTAGATTTGAGCATGGACATTTGAAGGAAACTGGGTCGGAGAAACACTAAGAACTTTCAAAACAAAGATAAAATAAGTCTTAATTAAACTATAAAGCTCAAGGTTATTGCCAGACTCAGCTTCCACATAAGAAAACATGTTTATTTCATAATATGGAATAATCAGATCAAACCTATCATGTTTGCCTTTTTCTTTTTCTTTCAGGAAACTTTTTGGGGAGAGCCTGGATAAAGCAGGAACCTTCTACAATTTACTTCCAGGGTCATGCACAGGCCCAGAACCACAGAAGAGTAGAAGAACCCTAACCAGGAGCTGGAAAGTCTTTAACTTGGGAAGTCAAGGTCCTCTCCAGGTACAGAAAGGTTTACAGAACTAGTACACTCAAAGCATGTGAAAAGCCTACACCCACCTAAGTTCTGATTGGCATCACCAGTCCTGTGGACTTAAGCAGGGTCCACAAGCAAGTTAAATGGGCTGGGGCCAAACACTTAAGATAATAGGAATATTACCAACTCTCTCCTCAATCTTGAGCAAGATTGTGTCTTGCTCACCAAAGCCCTTGTCGATCAACTTGGATCGTGGCTTCTATTTAATCTCAAATAGAAGAGTTCACCTTGAAGTTAGGAGTTGGAACTAATCAACTTGGACAACAAACGCCTATAAACAGGTGGGCATCAGATCCCCAGATGGAATGAGCTTTGAGTTTATTCCTCTTCTCAGCCCCATTCACTTTTCCCAAGTTCTCTCTAATCCGGATCTTTTCCTCTGCTTTCAGCTCACCGCCACCAAGAAAGGCCCCTTTCTCCTTGACTGTGCTCTTCCTCTAACCCATCTGACCACACAATCCTTAATGGTTGGGGGTGGGGCCGAGGACGGTGCTGACGACTGTGAAATCGCTGAACTACAAATTTGATGTGTTCAAGACGGGTAGCCCAGGTAGCCCCAGTTCCGGAATGGTCCCAGAACCTCCGGGGACCCCACTTCCAAGAGCGCAATGAGAGAAAGGCAGTCCTGGCAGGATTTTAAAACAGGGCTATTGAGTTGAATGTCCGAGAGTAACCCCGCCGCCCGATCCCCCCTCTGGACCTGGACTTTGCAAAATCCAGCCCATTCTCCTTCCACCAATTCCCCACCGGAGTTTCCCAGAAAGGCTGACACTTAGAGTGAGTCTGGATTATCCTGGGGAGCGTGGGAACCTGAGTTACTAGGCTGCCTCCCTCGGGGCAGCCTTTGTGGACCTTCTTAGACAGGAGTCCAAGCAGGAGCGAGTCCTGGCCAGGAACCAGCGTTCCTTGTCCGCCCCCTAGTCTGACTTGGAGAGTCCCACACACGGCTACCCGCTCTCGGGCTCCTCTCCCCGGGGGCCCAAGGGTGGCCATGTTCCACGGTGGGAGAGCCAAAGCACTAAGGCCAGAGCGCCCCCATTGGGAGAGTCCCTGGCTCCCGAAGAACCCGCGAGCTGTGCGTCGTGGGCGTGCACCCTGCACAGTTTGCAGCGGATGGGACCTCCACCGCGGTGCTAATTAATGCCCAAATGGCAAGGCTCGGTCCAAGTCGGCCTAGCTGGCCGGGAGGAGGACGATTCCAGACGCGAGATGAGCGCAGTAGATTCACTTTCTTTCCCTCCTGGACGTCCCGAGCTCCATTCAGAGCCGGAGGTGGGTTTGGCGCCCAGGGATCCTGGGCTCCCGACACCGCCTGATGCAGAGAAAGGTGACTGACTCCCCCCACCACGCCCAGACCCTTACCGTAGCATCTTCTCCGGAATAGTGCCCGATGACCCGGTGGCCCCCCGGATGCCGCCTGGACCATTTGGTGACGTTGTAGACTTTGCGGTCAATGACGAGCCACTGGTCGGTGCGCTGGTTGTGCTTCTGAATCTCCTCCCAGCTGAAGGTGGGCATCGGCGCCTCGCGCTCAGTGCTCCCCTCGCCCTGGTTGCCTCCTTTCCCCATGCTGCCTGCCTACCGGGATGCCCCGCGCACTGCGGCCTCTCTGCTAGCGGCACCGACGGTCCCCTCCCGGCTGCAGAGTGCGGTCGGCGTCCTCCTCGCTTTCGGCTTTTGTCTTCTACTCCTCCTCCCACCGCTCCTCCTCCCCTCGCCTTCGCTCCTCCTCGCCTTCGCTCGCTCGCCAGAATCCCCTGCCCTCTTCCCGGAGTACCCCCAGGCTTCCCAATGCCCCCACCCAGCGGTCCCCTTCCTCGCCCCACCCTCCGCCC